ACGACATTTAACGTCAAAAACAGAGCGATAAAGGAAAAGCAATTATTTTTTTTGCTTTGTCAGTGCAAAAAGCAAGGTCTTTTACACGTTTTGCCTGCGTGACAGGTATTTTTAAGGGGATGAAATATTCATTCCTGATTCCTGATCATTCCTGATCTTACCCGCCTGATTTTACCCTTCCTTACTTTCTTTATAGAAGAATAAAATAAAAAAAATTCTAATAATCTATCCTCCAAAGAACAACAATTGGCAATTGGCAACTAGAAAAGGTTTATACTACCGAAAAATCAGCCGTTCTTTTTGCCCCCCCCCAAAAAAAAACAAACAAACAAACAAAACAAGTAAATTAAAAAAAAAACTAAAAGAAAGAAAGAAAAAAAAGGACCGTTTTTTTAAGGAAACGGAAAACGGTTTTTAAATGTTATACAGTACTTCCTTTCTAAAGCTCTGTCAGATGATATAAGATTGACTTTTGTAATTAAAAAGATAATTTAACCCGGGCCCATTTTGCTGACTTTAGCAGTTGTGACGTTGTGAATTTTACATTTTGCGTCGAACAAAAAACTTAAGCTTTTCGGCCAACAACGAAAATCTTTCTGGAAAGTTTGATCAAGAAATGAAAAGAAATGTAAAAGATACGTACAATAGCCGTAATGACCCAGCGGCGGATCCAAGTGGTCAGATATGGTTGGGAGGGGGGCGGTCATCCAGACCCTGAGATTAGGGAAGGAGGGCGGTCTTAAAAGAAATTTCAGCTCTTCGGGCTTCAGTTTCGTCTAAAAATAAGGGAAGGGATGGGGGGTTTTAAGGGCCCCCCGGGCCCTTCCTCTGGATCCGTCACTGTGACCCCTTTAGAGGGGTGGTCTGAGATGGCCATCGGCCAATAAAACAATGGTATTTTATTACTTTATTTTATTTATTTTGTACAATATTTATTCAGGGGTGCCCAGTTCAGCGAGGCTGGTTTGAATGAAGCCTTGATGAAAAGAAAAAAAAACAAAAAAACAACGCACAAAAAACAAAATAATAACAGATAAAAAGTATTGGAGGCTCAATTTGGCTTGGATCTAAAGTGCCTTTTTAGGTCAAACCCAAACTTATTTAAATCATGCTCGCTCCTCAGGGCCAGAGGAAACGTGTTCCAGATCTTAGCTCCGCTGAACCTGAACGAGCCCTGTTACTTAGTTGTCCGAGCTAGTGGCAGACGGAGCAAATCTCTATGGCATGTTACATGATTGGAAATCGCGCGGGTGGTTAAATTCATCAAGTAAATATGCTGGAGCCAGACCATGAAGGCTCTTAAACTCTAGCATGCACTTTAGACAGTCCCGGCAAACCGAAAGTGTAAGATATCTGCGATTGTGGGATTGCGTAGCCTTCAATAATACTGGCAGCACGCCTATGTAGCTCATCCAAGTACTCTCGGTCAGCCTTACTGCAGGAGTCCCATACGACAGCGCAATAGTCGAATACTGGAAGTATCATGGCGTTATAAAGTGTTAAACACGACTCACGCGGAATGACCTTGAGCGCTTTACGAAGCATGCCGAGCTTTGCCGATATTTTGCGCCCGATGTAGTCTATGTGGTCATTTCACGAGAGGTATGGATCCAGCATAACGCCAAGATACTTAAACTGATAGATTCGTGACAGGACAGTGTCCGCTGCTGTGACTGTGAAACTATCAACTAGGACAAGCCTCTGACGTTGACCGATCAACATTACCTTAGTTTTGATATAGTTAAAGTAGAGGAAGTTGTTAGTAAGCCACTCTATTATATGTTTAGTTGTTGTTGTTGTTTTTTATCAATCTTCCTCCAAGTGTCCCGATTAGAGAAGTCCACTGCAAATGCTCCGAATTGTCAGGCCGGATGAAGTACCAGTGGAGGAATACCATATTTCCACAGGCTTTTAGAACAGTAGTTTATTGGCCGCAATAAATAAAACACCCCTACAATGAATGTCGACGTTAGAAGATTTGTTCCTCAAAATGCACTTTCTTTAAGAAGCGATCTCAGAACGCAATAGACAGTCGGTCGACTCTCTGTTAACGGACACCTCTACAATTAACCCTCGGACGAACACGCAAATTCATACCCCCACCTTGGTACAAGGGGGTGAGGAGGGGGGGGGTTAGTGGATGGAACTCCTCCGCTGAGTTTTTTATATGTTCCAGAATTTCGAAACGATTTTACCTTTAGAGGAAAGCCTTTGATCTTCTTAACAAGATGAGGTATATTTTATAGGTGGTGGCGCTGCTGGAGGTCTGTGACGCCACCAACAATGGTTGCCATCTTGGCCGCAATCTTGCATTTTACCAAGAATTACGAATCAGGTTAAAACTACGAGAAATGGTAATTTTTTTGTGCTTTGCATGAAAAATAACACATCAATAGGCTCTTTGCATGATTTTAGCCACAAAGTTTACTGTTATCGTTGAAATAAGTTGAAAAAACGTGTATTTTTACCCAAAAATGGCTTGACTACCTGCTACTTATGACGTCATATCTCGTAACCATAGCAACTGACCATCACTAAACTTGTCTCAAAATGTACGCGAGGGATGGACGAACAGCTACTGAAAACGTCAGGTGCTGATATTTTGTCCTCTAGGAAAAAACTCAGAAAAACCTTAACGAATATTGTGGTATGTGGAGGCGTGTGTGGCCGAGCGGTTAACACCTCTGGATCTGGAGGTCCGTTGTTCAAGGCTCGTCCATCACGTTGTTTCCTTAGACATGGAACTTTACTCCACTTTGTCTCTCTTCACCCAGGTGTATAAATGGGTACCGGCGACATACTGCTGGGGGTAACCTTGCGATGGACTTGCATCTCATCCAGGGGGGAGTAGCAATATTCCGAGGCTTACTTTTCGCTACGGAAACTGAAAATAAGCTCCGGCCGTGTGCGCCTTTACCTTTATGTATGCTATGCCCAGGGGGCACTCGCTCAGTATTTACGCGCGATTTTTGGGCAAAAAGAAAACTTCCCTGTATATCTCTCGAGAAAAAATGCGATCATTATTCCATCCAAACACGGCACAACGATCTGTTTTTTTTCCTATTGCAATCTTTTTCAAGGAAAACTTAAGGAAGAATTGGTCCGAAAAACGCGCGTAAATTCGGAGCGAGTATATCGAATCGTGCTCATGCCCCCTGGGCATCCTATAATACTCCTTAAATCTCATTAATTAAATATGGCCGCCGTAGCGGTAAAAAGATTTATTAGAAAAGCTAGGCAAAATGCCGCAAGTTGGTTGCTAGTGATCTTTTTTGGCATGTGATAGATGATCAGTTGAAAGAACATCGAGAAACTGGCCATGGCGAGAATCTGTTTGTAAAACAACACAAACAAAAAGATTACGTGGCATACATCATATTGTTGCTGCAAGTGGAAAAAATACAACTATTTCAGTTGATATTTCTTTTGTCATTTTCGTGCAGCAAATGATAATTTCGTGGTGGCATGTAATAAAGATTCAATCGGCCACGTTTCCAGTCTTCCTCTTTTTTAATATTAACTTGAGGGTCGAGGGGGAACAAATTGGGCTTATTGTTATGCATTTGCACAAAGTGCAACGACTTCGTAACATAAAAGATGAGCCCGTAATTTTAACCCTCGGACGTACTGGTGGGGTTGGATGCCAACCCCGCGCTTAAGGTTTTTGCTGACTTTTCTCCTAAAAGATAAATCATCAGCAACTGACGTTTTTAGTAGCTGTTCGTTCACCCCTCAGGCGCATTTTGTGTCAAGTTTAGTAATGGTCAGTTCCTAGGGTTACGAAATATGACGTCATGAGTAGCAGGTGGTCAAGCCATTTTTGTGTGAGAGAAAAAGTGATGTTTTTTCAACTTTTTTGAATAATAGAAGTAAATCTTGTGGCTAAAATTATGCAAAGTACTTATTTATGTGTTATTTTTCATGTCAAGCACAAAACAATTACCATTTGTCGGGGGTTTTAATCTGATTTCTAATTCTTGGTAAAATCCAAGATGGCGACCATTGTTGGTGACGTCACAGGCCCCCATCTCATACCTCATCTTGTAGAGAAGATCAAAGGTTTTCCACTGAAGGTAAAATCGTCTCCAAAAACTGCAACATTTAAAAAAACTCTATGAGGTGGGGGGCTCCGTTTTTTTGAATCTGCTTATTGATTCACCTCGAGGGCGGATTTATTTGAAGATGAAACCCACCTCACTTTTTCATTGGAAAATTCGAAATTCGGCTTTCCAGTTCTAAACGGCTGATTTCTCAATGGAAAACACTTTAAGTATTTCTTCTGTGCAATCTTTATTTGTTCTGGCACTTCCTCGAATTATAGGCTACGGTAGCCTTTGCTTCTATGTATACATACATAATATTAACAGCCTCTTCAACTTCTCTCAATTCATAGCGATTTACAAGGTGCAGTATCATATAATAATAATAATAATAATAATAATAATAATAATAATAATAATAATAAACTGTTTAACAATCTCCATGCATTTAAAAAACGGAATTGCGGGGATAATATACAAGCTTCAAAAATTTACGCTTTTTAACAATGCTATACATACTACAGTATACTACTACTTTAAGCATTCCACACTGTACACTATTCTAAGATAGGTCTTATGGTTGCTGAGTAGACTTTAAGGATTAGTTTACTAGGTACTCCTGCTTTCCTTAACACTCGCAATGAGAATAGGCGCTTTGAGGTCTTCTTAAAAATATAATCCACGTGATAGTTACTGATATACATTCCGAGGAGTTTACAGATGGGGACTCGTCGATCCACGAGATTATTGCCAAGAATTATGCCTGACAATACAAAGTTATGATTATGCATGAAATTAACTAAATAAGCATTTTTTTGCACTCTTTAGGGTTTAAACTCATATTGTGGTCACTAAATTGTTAATGATACTAGCAACTATTATTATTATCTCTTTGCGATATTCCCCCCCACCCTCTTAGTGACGATTTAGTGCGACACCAACATTTTCTCTTTGATGACATCTAAAAAATGAGAGCAGAGCTTTCTTAAAGTCCGGCATCCTGATTGTGTATAAAATGGGATTTACAAGAGAGTTTGAATAAAGCAAAAAACGCAATGAAAAACCGAAACTTAAACCTTCTGGATAAGTAATACGGTAATTACAAATATCAGTTAACCAGACAACAACAAGATATATATTGTATGGTAGCCACAACAATAAAGATACTAAAGTTGTTATAAACAATGTGACAGTCAGTTTTCTTTGTCTTAAAGCTGCTGCACAATGGTGGCGAGGATGAGCTCCAAAACGAAACTTTAAGAAAATGGAAGCGTAAGAAACAAAGGTAACAATTAAACATAAACAACTGTGTGATTCCCACAAGTACAGGTGATGTCTAATCAGAAACCATTCTATCTCCCGAATGACTAATGTAATAACAGGAAAAGCCCAGACAATAACAATTGCCACCACGTAGACCCAACTCTTGATAAGTCGATGCCTAAATGGACGAAACGTGGCGTGAAATCGCTCTAAAGAAATTGCAGCGATGTTTGTCAGGGAGACAAAGGGAAAGAAAAGCAAAAGACTGCGTAACAAAATTATAACTTTCAGGTATACTAAAGCAAAATTTACGAAGTGACAATTGCGCAGCAAATCCAACTGACTGACACTCCCGGAAAGACCTCCAACCAACACGTCAGCCACGGTTAAGCTTATAACCAAGTACATGCTGCGAGTGCGAAGGCTTCTGTTCTTTATAAAAAGAAGGATGGAAAGGAGGTTCACCGTTACTATAGCAACAAACTCGGCGGTGAATACGGTAAACCAGATGATGCACTCGGATGATGAAACAATCATGTTGAGTTTTCGTCGATGGTGCTGTTTTTTCTTGAGTTTGTGTTACCCGCTACAGTAACCTGCAAGAACAATAAGCTTTGAAAGGTGCTAAAGAAAGATCTTTATTATTCATTCAAAATATTTCTCCGTTTCTGATTGGCTAAAACCCTACTCATGATTCATCACCAAGATTGGAGGAATTTTGTGATATGTGTAAAATGACATCAACTGTGCAGAAAAAATTTCCAGATTATTGAACATTTAACCAAGAAGACCTGGGGACGAGGTTGAGTTGTTGGTGGTGAGTACAAAATGGCAGAACATTTCACTCGTTTCAGGAGGAAGAAAAAGGCGAAATGTTGACTAAAAACATAGCAAGAACAGCAAGAAGACAACTCGACGAGCAGCACCTGCTGTCTGGAGAATATTTAGAGAATTGAACGACCCTTTACCTCCTAAACATGCACTATCGGAGATGAACTTAGATGGAGGTATGAGTAAGCTTACTTTTAGACTAGGAATTAATTTCAAAGAATAATTATATAAAAAAATATTTAATTCGGCTCTCGTATCATCTAAAGAATTATGGAGATCTCGGAGGGTGTTATCTGCAATATCCTCCTCGATCTCCACAATTCCTGAGATGATACTCAGCCTCATTCAATAGTTATTAAGTATCTTAACTTGTAAGAATAGGACCATCGTAAAAAAAAAGAAAAAAATCTTTTGTTTGCGCCGCTACAGAGAGCCAATCAATGTGGGACTGTTAAGGTGTTTCGATACAGTTTTTCAGAGGCTATATCGATGTTTTTCAGTCGACTTAAAAGTGTTTTTTACCTTGTCCGATCGCTATAAAATATTCACCAGTAATTGGCTATGGATTGAAATTTGTGAAAAATGTAGTTTTAAGTAAAATCGATATCACTATGACAACAATAAACAAAATACCTTGAAATTGATAAAAACTGAATTTTGTGTGATCTGGACCAGCTACTGAAAATCAAGAACCATAATGGGACAGAGAAGGAAACGCCCAGTTTAGCCCTTGGGATATATGAATTTAACGAAAGTTATTTTTAGACCAATTAAACGCTTGAATTAATCGGAAATTGGTTTCCCGAGAGGTCCGCAAACTTTTATTCAGCGCTATTAAGAAATAATGGAGTCCCGCGTGGAGGTGCGTTTCATCGACAAAAGTGATTTTGTAAACAAAGGAAATGGTTTTATCTTGAAATATTGTCCCGATTGGGAGCTAGATTTCACCATTTCGTTTGAGTTGACTTATTTGCTAGTTGATATATCAGCTTTTAGGAGGAACTGAAGTCCGCGAACAACGATCCTAATCATGAAATTGCAATTTCGGTAGTGGAACCATGGCAGAAAGAAAAAAAAAAAAAAAAAAAACAGCAGCAAAAGGCAAACGGAGGAGTGGGAATAATCGTCGTACAAAACAATCAAAGCAGCCAAACGTCAATTCCAGTGAAGCGAAGTTGACGCGCAATTCGAAAGAAAACGCTAAGATGCAAGCAAATCACATCAAATCAAAACAGGAAAGCAGCAGACGTGCTAACAAAAAATGGACTAGAAAGTTAACTTTGTCCCATGTGTCACAACTTCGTATCAGAACAGTTCTGTCAATAAGCCATGAGAAATTTGGAAACCGGCCAATCGAAAGCTAATGGCTAATCGAAGAAATACTCGACGCTCAGAAACATTGTATCTGGAACTTGTTTCTTCATTCAGTTGCAAAGGACGCAAACAAAACCCGTCAAGTTCATTTGACATTCGAGGTTGTGGGCCCAGAGTTTCAAAACATTGCAGGAATCCATCACATTCACGGACAAAAGAAAATCGCTTTTAGTTATTCATATCCAGGAGGCACTTTGGAGAAAATTAAACAACCTAAAACCCCTATTTAGCCCTAACAAAGAACGTTAAGTTTGCATTAGAGGGCCAATCCTGCCGACCAGAAACAAAAACCACAGAAAATCAATATGCGTGTAATGATATCTCAGTGTGAAACAGGCGGCAAAAATCACATTTGTCAAATCAAAACTTAGAACCCTCCAGAGCATAATCTACCCGCCAGAAGGATAAAACTTATTGGAACAAGCAGCATCATTTTAAGAATTTTCGTCTGTTTCTAAGCGGGCTTCTTCTCACGGCTTTCTTGCGAGGGACACAGAATTTGACTCCTCTTCGAACGAATCATCGCTTATCCTGCGATTGCGAGTAAGAACGCTAACTTCAATTTCTTGAACTGAAATGCAGCTCTCAACAGGCTCATCTAAAATATTGATGCCGAAATCTAGACGTATGTAAATTTCGTACCGGTCATATTCAATATTCAACAGTTGCCATTACAACATTCTGCATTGTTTGCTTTGAGGCAGTCTCACGTGGACTTGATGACGTTTCAAACAATCGATTAAAATATGCGGACGTCCTAGGAATTAGACTTCCGTTTTATTACAGCCTCTAAAAGTAACTTTAGTGAAATTCACATATCCCGGCCAAAGCCCTAAGGTTCCCTCTCTGTCCCATTATGGCTCTTGTGAAAATCCAACACTAGGAACTTAAAGTTTGGTGTTTAGCAAACAATCTCCGTAAGAAGTAAAAAATTCTGCGTTTGAATTCGACTAAAACGAAAATATATTTCAAACCTTAAATTTTCAATAACCGTGATAGATTATTTAATAAAAACGTTATAATTGACTCAAATTATTCTTAAGTAGCGTCAGAATGCTGCTTAATATCATATTTTGATGCTTGGAAATTTTGGTGTATTTTTGTTCTTGCGATCTTGAAAACTAACCCGTTTTCGCACCACCTGTATAAGTGCAACTTCATTCAAAATTGGGACTTTTAGCGCTTTTTTGCATATCTCTGAAACGACTAGAACGAATTTGTTTAGAATCTCTTCACATAATATTCGTAATGTATATAATAAGGTCTGAAACTTTCATTGAGATTGTTTCACTGCAACATTTTAAAGGTTCAAGACAAACCTATCTTAGGAACCTGTCAAAAATCTGCGCTACAACATTCACGGTTTTGACGTTATGCTAATTTTTCCAAAACAATGCGCACTATACAACATACCTCCATGACTAGTACATTTTAGTTTTGAATTTATCGCATATTTTGAATGTAAAACATTGACAATAGTCAGCCTGAAATGTACTAGTCTTGGATATATGTATTGTCTGCTTGAGATAGTTCCGTAACAGTAAAGCTGAAAATATCGCGGAAGCTCTCATATGCGTTGATACAAACGGTCATAACTTTAAAAATGCTGAAATCGTACTGAGGATTTTGTATATTCTTAATAACAGATAATCTGTCTTTTCGTCTATTTGGTCTAGAGCTTTCAGCTGGGTCCCAAACTTCAGAAACAAGCTTTTAAACCACGGTCATTTTTGGCCTTTCGCTCCAAAGCAATTACTCGGGGTCATATTTTGCTTAATTTCGTCTTTTCAGCTAAATTTAGCGAATAACTATTACATTCATGTGAAACTAGAGGCATATACCTATAAACAGATGTGAAATTCATTGGCGGATGGGCAAATCAAACATTTTACAGCGCCGCAAAAATGCCTAATCTTCAATTTTCAAGACGTGCAAATTGGAGGGCGGGACAAAATACTGAGCGCCCCCCAGCGGGGCAAAAAAATTATTGTGAATCAAAGCAAACCTATTTTAGTTGTAGTCTCGATAAAGCCTTTTACTTGCCAGATGAGTTTCAGACAAAATTATTTTTCACTCGAAATTGAGTGGGCGGGTTTTACTGAGACTGCCTTTTAGATACAGAAGCAAACGTTCGAAAATGAAACTGTACGCAGCTGTGTTTTGTTTATAAGTCGATTGGTTTAAATTTCGTCGTTTGGCGGACAGAACTGGCAGCTATATTGTAATAAAGGACAATTCATTTTTCACAAGATGCAGTGTAGAGTTCAAGATCTGTTGCTTGGACCCTTTCATGATCAACAACTGCTTTCAAAGATATCCCATCCTATATTTCCTGAGTTAAAAAGAAAATGCAAATGCAAAATAATTCAAAACGTTTTCTGTTAACAAAACAAAGGCAAGTCAACTTTAATCGATGGCTTCTAATTGTCTGTAGAACTGACAAGGACAAAATATAAGAAAACGTAGCATGAAACACAAGTCTAGTCCTTCGTGTTCTGGTACTTTTTAAATAATTCGAATAGTTTCTGCACCAACTATAAGTAAAAGACATCTTAAACATGATTGATGAACAAGATAGATTTATTGTTTTCATGATCAGAGCTAAAGGATTAGTAAAAAGACAGGTTTTATTTGGCGTCAAAAACAGGGCGATACATGGGAACGATTATCATCTTTTTCTTTATTTGTGTTTAGAAACAAGTTTAGCCTGCGTGGCTGGTATTTTAAAGGGAATATAACCCTTCAATCCTGGTTTTAAACGCCTAATTTTACCCTTCCTCCTTCCGTTCGTAGAACCAATTTCCTGCTTGTGCATTCTATTTGAAAAGGTGGCTTAGCTAATTATCATTTGCTGTATAAGATCTCTACTTCACGCCAGTAAGAGTGAAAATAAAAATGTAACCATCTATTCTCCAGAGAAGGAAAACAAATTGAGCACTCTCAGGGACACTTTCTTTCAACTGAGCATAAGCCATATTTTATATTCATCGAGCTTGTAGTATTGATGCAACGAAACTCAGTCCTTAGAAATGAAGCACTGGCCGGCTTATCTTAATAAACTGATCACCTGTTTAGACGCCGTCTGTTTTTGTATTGTTAAGGAGCTTAAGCTACAACGACGGCCACGGCTACGAAAATGTCACTTAAAAAGTGAAGTCGCGCTCCCTCAAACTTTATCGCGCTAACTCCGTGTCTTATCCAATTCGTCAAATGTTGTCAATTGTTTTCTGGAGATGAATTCTAAAAGACTGTATCGAAGTTCAGGAAGAGAAGAAGAAAGTCGTTGCCTTATGTTCACGTCCTCTACAAAACGTGAAATTGGGCACGTTTACGTTGTAGTCGTTCAGTAACGGTACGAAATGTACAAAAAAGCCTGATGCACGTGCAAAGTTGTTGTTTTACTAAATAAATCTAACCTATTACCTTTTTGCCGTTCCCGTTTCCGTAGCCGTCGTCGTTGCTTAAGCTCCGTAATAGTAGAGGAGGAGACCGCTATCAACTACGTTGCAGGTGAAAACAAACAGTTATAGAGAGATCTAAAAGAAAGTTTGATAAAGCTGTTAGTCTCTTTAAAAAAAATGCAAACTGATCGCTTGTGTTATAAAACTGTAAGTTCACAAAAGCTCAGATTTAACTAACAAAAAGCAAGCCAGTTTCTATCGCATCAAAGTGTTCTGTGGCCACTTTAGAATATATGAACGTATATTTTTTTTACCAAACTGAGAATCTGATGCCAAATCTTATGTGACTTCGCGTACTCCACTGGAATTATTATTAAACTGTCTTACCTTCTTTAAAAAGGACGCTGCCAGTTTTTTAAAAAACAGCAAAATGAAGAGTGGCCGGCTATATGAACGAGTAGTGCCAGGCAGTAGCTTATGTGTTTTGACTTGTTTGCGTTTCTTAGTCGATCACAAAGCTCTTGCCACCGTTTAATATACTGCCTAAAATGACGATTAGCATACAGCTGTACTAAGGCTAGCATGGAGAACAAACAGTTAACGTAATGTTGAGCAGGAGGCAGTGATTTTTGCAATTTTTCATTTTTATATGCCTCTAATGTCTTTTTCAAAAGGAAAGGCAGATCTAGTACAGCATAACAATCTTAAATCCAAGTAAATATTATCACTTTGGAAAGACGAAACGACACTACTAATTGCATGCTCAACTGACCTATAAAGAAAACGAAAAACAATATTACAAACACACTTTGTAGTTCTCCTTTGATTAGTTTCTTTAATTGCTTTATTTTTTACAAAAAAGCGAAGGCAAACAACAAGTCTGTTACCTTCAGACTAGCGCCACTAGCTTTTATGATAATGCCTATAAAAATTCCTTGTACAGTGATGCGATGTTTTTCTTCTAATTCTTCACACCCGGTGATTGAGCTTTCTTTCGCAGTGAGCCTCCACTTGCGTGCCCCGTTCAGAGGAGTCGTTCCCAGCTAAACTTTCAAATAAAACAAGTTTAAGATGGACAGTAGCTTGTAGTTTGACTACACTCGTTTGTTGGTAAATCAAAAGGCACATTGTTCGACTTGCGGAGGGATTCAACTCCGTGATACACTCACATTAGTTGCGCAAATAAAGCGAATCCTACGAAGATATGAATAACCATCTTAATTTTCTGAATTTCCAAGGCACAGTTTGAAGCATATTTTCCTACCATAAGACCATAAAACAATAAAAAAAGACAGAAAAAATGATCCTTCTCTCCGCTGGCGGCGGGTCATTCACGAAAACAACCACGCCGGGAATAAGCGCTTTCAACTTCCTTTGACTCCAAAATCCAATCAGATCTTGTGGCATTGTTCTAACAGCCAATCAGCGTTACGGCCAAAATCAGTGAGCACAAACTTGTGAGAGTTTGTATCAGGCCCAACTTTTAGCGATAGCCGTTAAAGAGAATCTATGAGAACCGCTGAAATTGGGCCTGATCTCAGGTTAGTTCCCATTTAAAGTAAATTAGCAATTAATAAATTCGGATTTCTTAGGATATGAAGAATTAAGCAGATCGAGGAGGGTGTTATCCACCAAGGCCGAAGGCCGAAGTGGATAACACCGTACGAGATCCGCTTAATTCTTCATATCCTAAGAAAGCCGAATTCATTAATTTCTTTATTATTCATTCAAAATAATTCCTAGTTTATAAACATAGCTAAAACATGCTTACCTGCATCGATGTTAAGTTCATCTTCGATAGTGTACGTTTAGGTTTGTCCAGTTAAGGAAATATTCTCCAAATAGCAGATGTCGCCCTCCGAGCTGTCTTGTTGTTTTTGCCATGGTTTTAGCTATAATTATTTCGCCTAATTGCACCTGTAGTTCTTACTCTTGAAACGAGTGAGATGTTCGCCACTTTTTTTTTCCACAACCAAAAAAGACAAGCTCGTCCCCAGGTCTTCTCGGTAACGGTGCCTTAACCTGTAGCGGGCTGCATTTTTTGACGTCATTTCCTCGTTAAACAAAAAATTCTTCCAAATTTGGTCATCAGTAAATGGTTATGGCGAATTATGCGTGTGCTTTTAGCCAATCAGAATTGGGGAAATATTTTGAATAAATGATTATGTCGATTATTTCATACTTTATTCAATTTTCGTTTCTACTTTTGTAATTTTTCTTCTGCTTTTTCTTAAATGGTAAAAGAAGACGCACGAACGAAGCGTCCCTGCTATTGAGCATCGTTTGCAAAGACATTTAATTTCAAAACATCCTCACATTTTGCCAATTCTTAAGGTGGTTTTCGAATATTTAAGGTTGCCATCTAAACTAAAGCCAGATTATTTCATATCTTATTCAATTCTCGTTTCCTTCTCCGTAATTTTTCATCCTACGGACGATACTGAGAACAGTTCTTTCATTCGAATGTGTACATCAATTCAAGCGTGAACAGAAATGAAAGACAGACTATCAACATGTTATCAGTTCATGTGTTTTGGGCATTTAAAAAAAAAAAAAAAAAAAAAAAATGTGCGTATGTTGGACGCTACGCTCTTGACATATTTCGTAAAAATTTCGGAGCTCAACAGCCAAGTGCGGAAAGTTTATCAGTGGAACATGGAGACCAGGCTAGGGTAAGAGTTAGGGGTAGGTTAGATTTGGTGGGCGATGCATACCTGCTATATTTGTTCGAAAGTAAATTACGAAGTTCCTGAGGTTTAGAGAATTAACTCTCTGTACTCTTAATAAAAGTTAATGCGAACAACAAAGACTTTAACTGTAACCTACTGGTACAGACCACCAAATTCACCTATATTGAGCTTTATTTGAATGTAGACATATTAAATTCTGCAAGCAGAATACTGCAATACTGATCGCACCACGTGAAAATTAACTCTTTTTAATGTTTATTCCCTTTTTAGGAGACTAGATTCCTGGCACGTTAAACATTGGGCGATAAGAAACTGGATTTGCTGACCAGCAATAACAATTAAACAGGGCTCTCTTGAATGTACCGCTATTTACCGTATGGCTCTTCTATTTACACCTTAAACAAGTACCCTTAACAAATAATAAATCTAGATCTTTTTTTTACTACTCATCAAGACGACATTCTTTACTGTGGGATGTCTTACGTTGGTATGAGGGATCATAGTGTAGCGTATTCGTACCATAAAAATAATTTCAATTTCCTCTCCTTCATTAGCTGTAGACAAGTTAAACACTTGAAAACGAATTTCCCTAAAGATATTTCGGCACGACAGTCGTTAAATTATGCGAGGTTTTCTTTGTTCCAACTAAAACGCGTCTTATCCAAGAAGAAGAGTCACGTGCCATTCCTAGCTAAGTCGAGTCTTATTACGCAAGCCCAATCTTATTTTTCCTCCTACAAATGGCGCTATTGTCTATTTATTGACGTCTAAACAATGAGAAAAAGGCTCTTTTAAAGTCCGGAATCCTGATTGTGTATAGAACAGGATTTACAAGGGAGTTTGCGTAAAACAAAACAAACAATGAATAACCCAAACGTACAGCTTCTAGTCGAGGAAATGACTTAGGAAGATCACTAGTTTTCAGGTTAACGATAACAAGTATATGATATGGTAACCACAGCAGTAAAGATACTAAAGTCGTTATAAACAATGTTACCGTCAGTTTTCTATGTTTTGAAGAAGTTGCAAAAGAGCGCCGAGGATGTGCTCCACAACGAAACTTAATTAAAATTGAGATGTAAGAAACACAGATAACAAATAAACACAAACAGCAATGAAATCCATAAAAGAAAAGGTAATATCCTGTCATAAAGAGAACTACCATCGAGGTGACTGATGTGATAACAGGGAGAACCCAAACAACAGCAATTGCTACCACGTAGACCCATTTCCTGATAATCCGGTGCTCTATTGGACGAAACGTGGCGTGCACTCGCTCTAAAGAAATCATTGCAATGTTTGTCAGGGAGACGAGAGGGAAGAAAAAAAGAAGTGTTATTACAACTTCCCTTTGAAAAGGAAATCGTACGAGGTGACATTCCTGTAGGATGAGCACTTGTTTAAAAACTCCAGAAAGTCCTCCAACCAACATGTCCGCCACGGTTAAGCTTATAACCAAGTACATACTGCGAGTGCGAAGGCTCCTGGTCTTTATAAAAAGGATGATTGAAAGGAGGTTCACTGTTACTATAGCAACAATCTCGGCTGCAAAAACAACATTCCAGGTGATACACTTGGATGCAGAAGGAACCATCTTGAATTGTTATTGTTGTTGCTGCTCCTGTTGTTTCCTGTTTAAGTCTGTTGCTCACTACAGTAACCTGTTGAAAGAAAAACCCATGATCAGCGTTATAAACAAATGATTCAGAACCATTTTTACCTTTTTTGGTTAGCTTGCAAGAGCGATTACTGAAGTAGGCGCAAAGGGCAATGCAGTTAGCAGTTCCTAGAATGAACGGTCAACACGCTGTGCAGGCTAAATAAAGTGTGCTGCGCCTTTTTGGAGTAGAAAAAGGTGAGCAATGCTGATAGCTGTGTGATGTGGCGGAGGAGAAGAAAGGGTTTAAAATTTGCTGTATAATTTTAGTGGAGCCTCTGCGCGCACATGGAACTCCATACCTAAGAAAATTTGGTAAACTATCCATCAATTTGGGTATGACGTCACCGTACGTCCCTCCGTACGGACTCTCCGAGTAGAAGTAAGTAGAAACGAATTCCTCCCCTAGAGAGTTTTGTCCCCATTGTTTCAAAAGGCTTTACAAATGATTGGAAAATCAGAATCTGTCAACTGAGCAAATGGTTGGTGGATTTTAGGGGCCGACCATTTGACTTTTGAAGGGGTTATGGGGGATTTCAGAAAAAAAATATCCTGCAGACTGATTTCGAGGGGGAAAAGTGTGCAAGGATATAACTGTAAAAAATAATATCCTGCGCTAAAATATATATATATATATATATATATACACACATAACACAAATGAACTGAAACCAGTGAAAGAAATAAATAATTGAACACAAGTGAAACTCTAAAAATTGCCTTGAACGGGATTTGAACCCGCGTCCTCGACTTTCTAGTGCCGAAGTGTTAACCACTACACCACCAAGACCACCACGCTATCGCAGTCGAATTGAAGGCTTTATGGCTCACGGGACTCCCCAAACAATTTTTTAGAGTTCACAGAGGCCACTGGAAGGTATATATATATATATATATATATCGCTCACCACGTATATAATGCTGAAAAAAACTTGTTACACTGTTATATGTTAGGGAAAAAATGTCTAACTCCAGAGCTTTGGAAAAAAAAATCTTATCCAAACTAAATCATTCATACCCCTTCCCCAACAAAAGTTAACTGATCAACCACATAGGATTGGAGGAAGAAGCGGGTTTGACACCTTGGTCAGTCCGGGCCACAACCATAACTGGATATATGATGACGTCAACCAAATTTTCAAAATGGCGCCCAAACCAAGGTACACGATCCAGGTTCACTTTTCAGCTCTTTGCTACGCCTAGAAATGACCTTTTCCCACAGTACCCTCGGTGCTGCGCCTTTGAATGATGGGGAAGCATATGAGTGTGGAAAAAACTTGCAACCGACGAGGTTTGCGTGTTCTCTAGAGGTAAAACGGCTGAAAACCGGAGTGTTTCAGCTCAAAGATCTACCTGACAAGGCGCAAAACCTTTAAAGATAAAAAGGTGTGTTTCAATTTTTTGATCTTTGAAAAAAAGTTTTTTGAAATCTACATAAAATTTGCTGGTTGATGGTGGTTTTGTTGTCGAAGTGCAAGGCATTTTTACATAGTGCTGTGTGTTTGAATTTGCAATAGTGAGTTGCGCCAAGTGCGAATTTTTGTAACGCCACGTTCATTTTATGTTTTATTGCAGTGTGATGGAAAAGCACGTTGCTTTTTGGCATAGAGATGCCAGTTGGGTGACAAAACTTTATCGAAAACCCGAACTGTCCAGATTGCGTTGGTTGGTCCAAGAAGCAATGTAGTTTCGCCATACTACGGGATTGTTGTCTGACCGATCGAGCAGACCTTACTGTGGGACCGACATTAAGTTCCGAGAAGTCGGGCCGGGTATTCTGAAGTATAAATTGCTACCAACTGAACAACTAAGTAAGTGTACTTTGCTTTTATAGTGCGACAGCTTGTATTATTTCAGATTATTTGTATAACAAAGCGGTAAATGTCGGGAAAGACTCGACATTGCTGCTAGAAGTCAAACTTACAACCTCACCACATGTGAGAAATGATGTGTTTTCATGTGTAGTTAACTAAAATGTTGTTGCCCGCGATAGTACTAATTTTAACACGTGTCACAGTTGCAGTAGACTTTAACCAAATTGTTAAGAATAATAAAAAATAATTTATAGTTGCTCTACTGCAACTATATGCTGGAAAAGCAATAGCCGTGTGGTTAGTTGGTCAGTGGGCTTCAATTAATCCACTTGGAGCATTCCAGGAATAAGCTAGCCCTGGCTGAGTTCACCATGCTGTTTTCTTGGACAAGACACTTAACTCTAACAATGCCTCACTCCAGTAATAATATTACCTTTGGAGAGTTGGGTGGCACACATACATGTAAGAATAAAACCCTAGTATTTAACTGTGAGGATCATTTCCACTTTCATAGATTCTGTTTGTCTTATGTTTTTTAAAGATTTTTTCTAGTCAGACACACTGAGAAGGAATTTAGCAATATTACTGAAGATAAGAGCTACTTTCAGGCCATACAGCGCAGAAGTTACAGCTAACAGTAACACTCTAGATGTATTTCAGTATAAACCAACAACAATAAAGATGGCAGGTCCTACACTTGTGTCTACAATCATTCCCATGCACCGCAGAGTTTTTAATTACTAATGTCACGGGCTCTTAACCAGAATATCGATAATAACTAAAACTATTCTATTTTCTTTTAAGAATAAGAACTGAAGAACCAAAGTGACCTGCAAAACCCACTACTACACAGAAGAGGATGAAACATATCACTACAAATCTTGTTATTATCCATACTAATTAGGTCCATGTGTTCTCTCATTGATGGGTTTCAAAACATGGAAATAAGAGTAAGTATAAAATTCAGTTTGATTTGTTGTTATGTTTTGTACATGTAGATTTGTGAAAGGTTTGAACCCAGGAGTCATTTCAAAAATAGCTTGAGTATGATCGTCCGGGTGAACGTAGTCATGAATAGGACTGTTGTTGTTGAAAGTGACTGACGTTTCGACAACCTGTGCTGTAGTCATCTTCAGAGTCAAAGTGAGTTGTATCACGTCAGTTGATGGTATTATACTCTGGTTATTGGTCTGATTGGTCTATTTGGTAATAAGGGTACAAAAGAATACTTGGCAGGAAACTTTATATTATTTGTTGCTTATTTTAAACAAAAACCTCAATGTATTTAAATCTGGAAGCTTTTGTTTGGTCTGTTGTATCGGTCTAAATCTATTTCACACGTCATTCATGGATATTGATATTCTGAACTCCTCTTAGCCTCTTTCTAGTATTTTGGTCGTATCTGCTTGATTCTTATGGGCAATTATTTTGCATAAGTTGTTGAGAGGGAAATAGCAGGAGGAATTGGGCAGAATTCGGCATGGGTGGTTTTGACGAAACAGTGATGTCTTCCCTATGATATGAAAAAAAATATATGTAGCTGTCAAAAAATATAGCTATCATTAAAATCAATATTAGTGTCCATCATGACTGATGGTTTGTGTTGAGTGACATTATAATACATTATTAAACTTTGAAAGAGGAAAATTCAGTTGTGATGCGATAGGGGAACCATAATAAAGTGGCTGTTTTATACATGTACTTAGTGGTTTTATTTGCTTAACCTTTAGTGGAATGATTGTAACCTATGCTTGTGTACAAAATACAAATCTTGCAGCAATTGTATTGTAAACAGAAGAGGAGAAGTATCTGAGAACGATACTAGCTCAAATGGGAAGTTAAAATGTTATATGTTTTTTTTAGAAATCAAAACTGTAGTGACATACATTTTTTAAAACTGAGCAATTAATAAACATTCACATGTTTATTTCCTACTTTCTTATTATAAGCAAGGAATTCATACAATTTGGGTCACCCTGAATATATTACAAAAATTTGCTTAAGGTGCCTGAAACATCATCGTCTGATAATGACTGAAGCACTTCAAAACGAGCTAAACGAAATAGACTGCTCGTATTCAAACGATGTAAACCTGTTTGTCGATATAATATTCACTATCCCACTGCACATTGAAATAAGAATGTCTGGAAAAATTTACATTTCCTCAACAGCCCTTGTGAAATCAGGCAAATCAAGGCCACAATAACGCTTGTTTAGGGTATATATGCACGCTATAAGGTAGCGTTCACTTTCCTAGGCTCACCAGAATTGAGAACTTGAGATCAGGCGGCCTACATCGTGCGAAGAAGTCGTAAACAAGGTTGCTGATTAAAGCTTATAGTTCGCGAGCTTCTGTGTGTCACGTAATTCCAGTAAAGAAAAATATAAAGAAAACGACTTTTCGATGGAATTTTCCGCAAGCTCTAAAAGTCGAGAGATCGATACATCGGAAGGATTCTATCGTATCATGAATATCTTTGGAGCGGCTTTCGACGCAACATTGCCGCCATTTCTTTCGGCCTTAGTCCTTTTGCGATCTAAGCAATGTTTTGGTTTTTTGTAAGCCAATCAGATGACAGGAAATCATATATCCAGTTCTCGTTGTGGCCCGGACTGTTAGTAAATAAAGAGCTTTAGATTGTAAGACGATTACGACTACGAGTAAGAGATTTTCTCAATACCACGTAGTGCTCGCGCGAGAACCAGCGTCATTTTGGCGGGAAAATGTGGTATACCCGTCGTCATTCTACTACGAGTTTAAGCGCGAACCTCGCAAGATATCAAATGTTAGAAGTTTTATCATTTTGCGATCGGGAAAGCGCATAACCTCCTTAATTAAAGAGATAAGAGTGCTAACTTTTCTAGTGAAATATGGTAAAATAAAGCTTTGCAGGAAGTCTATTCTTTGAGAACACGCGAAAGTAGTCGTCCTCATCTTCGAATCTAAAGGTCTCTAATATCATCCATCAACAAAATGTCTGACGCGCATTCATCATGTGGTTGTTTTCAAGACGGAAGCTTTGTATTTCAAGATTGAAAATACGCCGATAAAAGACACAAATGGAAAGAGAATGTTCAAAAGAATGCTCAGTTTCCTTTTTGTAGACAAACGAGAGCTTTTCCCCATGAAATTGTCTTTCGAGGAATTCAACCTTGTTTTCTTCACAGCGGATCAGAGCGCTTGGTTTGTTTTGAACCAAGGCTAGGCAGCGGGGTTTCTGAAGAAACTTGAGGTACATTTCTGTACTCTATGGTCAAGGAAAAGTACTTTTTTTATAAAGGAATTTTTATATTTATAAAGGTTTCATGCAGGTTTTCTACATTTTGACTTTGACATTATTCAAGTTTTTTTGTAAATATTTTATCCCTATATATTATTTATGACTGCAATAGATTACAATAATGTACTTGCTAAAAAAAGAAATGGTCATATTACTCCCCCGTTACCTTCCCATAACGGCCACCTCTGTACAACGGCCACTTTCTTCTGTCCCCAAGGTGGCTGTTTTGAAGAGGTTGGACTGTAATTAAGTCAGCACACTAACCAAAGCACTCACTCTTTAAGCAAACCCATTTTTTATTTACCCTTGAGACTGCCTTCACGATGACGCCAAAACGTCGGCTTTTTGCACTTATTTTTGTATGTTTTTGCTTTAGTAAATTGCTTCTGATCTTGTAGAAGCTTCGAGAAAACTCACCCATTCTCAGCAAGATTTATATCGCTTATTTATCACGGATGTTCCCGATCAGACTACGTACTCAATAGAGAGATTTTGAGTCACGTTTACGGTAAACGGCAAACGTGAATTTGTCACCGGCACTTGACCAAGTTTTCCGTTAACTTAATGTGCTTTAATGGAAATTACCTCCACCAAAAAATTAGTAGTCTCACGGAAGTTTTGTCTATAACCATTGTTTCGGACTGTTTTTAGCAGCACATTGTCTATTTTTAGATAATCTCAACTTGAATCTTACGTTAACCGGTTCGCCGCAAACATCACCATAGAAATCACTGTGCAGGGTTATAATAAACGTTACAAGTCCTCAGCTGCTTCGTTCGCAAGATTTAGATCAATTTTCGCGGCTTAAAAGGAGTGAAGATGATCAGTAACGTTTAGTTTATTGTTACTCTTTTTCTCTAGTCTTGCTTGTGAGCTAGATATAACATATATGTATATAAATATATAAAATACGTTTAACCACTGCTCGCCTCGACTAGCTAATTGCTAACTACAGGCAGTGGATATTGCTTGTAAATTTTGAAATAAGTAATAAACAGTTGAACAGTTGAACAGTTTATTGGCTCAATTACGCTGTAATCAGAATGATATGCTCGACTTCATGTCGAGTGAGGTTCCATAATCAAAGGTGATCATATGCAAATTCCCTCAGAGTTGGCGACGAATCTTTGATGAGCTTCGAAGGGTGAAGATAGAAATTTCTTACGATTGCGTTCTCATTGAAGGATATATCGAACTAGGACTGAAAAGTCCTATGGAAAGCTTTCCTTTCATTATTAAGCTGCAACAGGTAGCTGGTTGAGAATAATTGCCGCTTGTTTGAGTCAAAAGACCTCATAGTTTTAAGTACGGAACCAAGCTTTCCGCGGTGTAGCCAGTGCGCTGATCTACTTGGTACCAGATTATAAGTGTGGTTACGTAACACTCTGCTTAGCTATGACTGCAAATCCGGTTTTGGAACCAAAATATTGGATCTTTCGTCAGTTACTGAGGTATAGCTGTTAACAAGAGCTAACCAACAGAGCTAGTTAATGAGGTATACGACAATTTTTCTCCTTTGAATATCGACTTCTCATGGAATATCAATATATTTCCGCTTTAACAACCTCAGTTGTTGACTCGTTATCGAATCGATATTTCTGAAACATCCCTGTTTATAAGAAGCAAAACGCGGATCATTTTTCTGAAAACATTTTTTTTTTAATTATCCAGAATGTATTCTTATTCCAGAAGTAAAGACCACTGGAACACACCCTAAATATTTTCAAATCTCTAAACTACAGTCGAACCTCGACTAATGGCCACTATTTTTTGTCCCGGCGGACAGTCCATACATTGGTTGTCTTTACACCAGGCCGTTAAGTAAGACTTAAGAGGTGCTAAGTTTTACTTAACCAAAGATACGTGTGTGAAGGCCTAAGTAAAATCTCAAGTTATTTTACTATGCATCTCATTAAAGTCGGAAAGTTGAGATGATTCAAGAAAGTTCCAAGTGACTTGAAAACCATCCTTAAAACCGACTTAGCGAACTTGCTCTCAGTCTCTTGAGCTTTGAGAAAGGTAAGTCATGTCACAATCTTAATTATGTTACGTGGGAAAGTAGCCTCCAGTCGTGTGTGATTAGCTTCCATGAAGAATTTAAAATTTACTTGTCTTGAAATATTTCTTAGCTTATTTAGGCTCTAGTGTAAAGACCACCACTGGCTCTTGTTTAAACCTCTCTACAACGGCAACGGCCACTAAAGTGTGTCCACAGCTGCCAAAATAACCTCTCGACAACGGCCAGTGTTTTCCGCGACAGATGAAAAAGTCAAGAATGGTCATGAAATTTGATCCGTATGGCACGTTGATGGTTCTTCGCAGCAATCGTACTTTGATTGTGTTCAATTTGCTGGTGTAGTGAGAATAAATTGTCTACGATACTTATAGCGAAAATTGCTAACCTTGCTCGTTTTGTCACGTGAAAAAAAACATTATTCAAGTTTTTTTTTGAATCTTTTATCCCTATATATTATTTATGACTGCAATAGATTACAATAATGTACTCGCTAATACTACTCATTTTACCCCGCTATCTCCCCATAACGGCCACCTCTGTACAACAACCACTTCCTTCTGTCCCCAAGGTGGCTGTTTTGGAGTGGTTTGACTGTAATTAAGTCTGCACACTAACCAAAGCACTCATATTTGATTCTTTAAACAAACCCATTTGTTACTTACTCTTGAGATTGCCTTCACGCTGACGCCAAAACCCTGCTCGTTTTGTCACTTTAAAAAAAAAAAAGCATTATTTTGTGTGTGTGTGTATATTTTATCGCTATATATTATTTATGACTGGAATAATATCACTATGTACTTCCTAAAAAAACTTTGGTCGTATTACAATCCATAACTGCCACTTTCTCCTTTCCCCAAGATGGCCGTTGTGGAGAGGTTTGACTGTAATTAACTCAGCACTCACACTAACCAAAACACTCAAATAACATTCTTTAAACAAACACAGTTGTTACTTACCTTTGCGATTTTCTTCACGATCACGTGAAAACTTCGGCTTTTTTCACTTGCATGTTTTTGCTTTTGTTAATAAACTGTTTCTGATATTGTAGAAACTGCGAGAAAACTTACCAGTCCCCAGCAAGACCTATATCGATTGTTTATCACGGACGTTCCTGATCAATACTCATTATAACATAGCTAGAAAATTCGCCTAATCAAATTCAATAGCGCGAGCGTGCTTCATATTCCTATTGAGCACGCTGATGACGTCAATAAACTATTCGTAATTCCTCGAGTTGTTGTGAGCTTAGCGATCCTGAATCTCCTGAGTGCATCCATAACTCAGCAATGGACAATGACGCGTTTACCATGTGTTTTATAAGGAAATTTGAGAGGAAACGTTTGAATTTGTTAACCGATAGTAGTGAAAAGAGGTGAGTGTTGTTGTTGTTGTGATCTCCGCGAGCTGTGCGGGCTATGGCGTGAGATCATTCTTTGCAAAGTTGTTTTCTCTCAATGGCAATTTTTCGGTAAATTAATAGTTTTCCGGCACCTAAATATGGATTTTACAATCATTTTAGAGTACACTTTCTCTCAGTTTCAGGATAAAAACACAAGATTAAATGTGAGGAAAAAAAATATATAGTCACGTAAACATTGACGCGTACTGCTTTGAGCGTGCCCAACAATAATAAAATTTTAAGTTAACTGTTGCATTGACCGCTTTGATAATGTTATAAAACAATTAGTTCATGCTGCAGCTGTGCGTATGTCGAGATATTGAGCACTTGGGAAGTTTGGAGAGCACTCAAGAGGCTAGAGTTGCACTCGGCTGCGCCTCGTGCAACTCTTACGCCTCTTTCGTGCTCTCCAAACTTCCCGCGTGCTCAATATCTCGACATACGCACGCTGACGCATGAACTAATTGTTAAATAATTAGAGAGATTTAGAGTCCCGTTTACGTTAAACGGCAAAGGCGAACCAAGTTTTCCCTTAACTTGTGCTTTACTGTGAATTATTTCTACCACAAAATAAGTAGTCTCACGTTAGTTTTGTCTATAACCATTGCTTTGGACTGGCTTTAGCAACACATTTTCTATTTTTAGAAATTCTCAGCTTGAATCTGCGTTAGCCGTTTGCCGTAAACTTCGCTTTAGAAATCAGGATGCAGAAGGGATGCAGCGAAAACGTCACTTTAAACGTAAATTCCGGGACTGTTTCAAACTTCGTTGGTCTAATATTCTATCTCACTCAAATGCTGGGATTCATTCATTTATTTATTTATTTTTTTTTTTTCTGGAGTTGATACTTAGGGGAGGGGGCGGGGGGATATTGGGATCCGCGGTGTTGCGGTGTCGCTAATTATTTCCGGCGGTGATCTCAAACCTTACGGTGTGCGGTGTTTCTGATTTTTAACCTACAGACAAGGCAGAATGAAACAACTTGCGGACCCTTCGCCAGTGTTGATGTGTATTGCTTGACCGTAGTTACTAAAACGAGGAAAAGTAGAACAGTGAGACCTGAATTAAAAACTCCCTTTATACTTTATGTTTTTAATGGTCAGTTCAACCTGTAAACGCGATGTAAATGGCTCCAACATAGAGGTCATTTAGACCACAACAGAGTGCATAACCGGTTGTGTCGCTTTCTTATGAAGAGGGAAAAGGGCGTGAATCCGGAACTACCGCCATAAAAACAAATTCAAGTTGGAAAGTTCTTAACACGCCACCATTCATTCTTTATGCACGAATCTGCAGGACTGAAATAAAGTTCTTAGAATCTTGTTCGTTATTATTATTTTTTTTTCCCGCGGTATTGGGGTGTTCAGTAACAGTCCCGCAATGTCCCCGTCCTTAAAAGACTGTATCTCATGATATCAGAAAAGGAAAAAAAATCGTTCTCGTGATCCCAAGTCCTTCACAACAAGTGAAGTTAGAAAGTTTTACGTCTTAGTCGTTCAATGACAAGAAGAAAATGAACAAAAAATTGAAATCGAAGCAGCGCAAAGTTTTTCAAGTTTTCCTTATCAAAACCTTGACTAAAACTATTGTTTTTTTGACGTTCTTGTTGCCGTCGATAAACGGTGGATACGAATATTCATTCCGTCATGGACAGAGAACTGTTCATTGCTAGAAGAGGAAGGTGGATTCCACCGATCAACAAGCGATATATTAGTTATATAACTAGTTAGCTTCTTGGACTAGTAAAGTCTAACAAGCAATTAACAAAGATGTTATGCATGGCCTGTCCAGGTGCGTGTGTCTTATGCTTTATTTTTTTATAATAACCGCAAATGTTACAAAATCTCAAATATGTGAATGAAGTAATGAAATGTGAGTAGTGAGATGAGTATAAATGTTGGTAACCGGGTAATTTATGTCCAGTGTTTGCCGTTGTGTAATTTTTTTTTGTTATTCAAAGAGAGAGACTCTGCCGCCTCGGATTGTTCGATTTGTAAACTGAGATAACCCTTTTAAAATACTAGTCAAATACCTTCATGGGAAATAGCGGGATGCGTAAATTATGAGTGAAATATTGACGCACGGCTGTCTACACGCTTTTTATTTTTATGTCAATTCTTCGCATACATTTAGCTTCAGTGGTTCTGAAATTGTGGTACTCAGAATCTGTCGGGGGAAGATTTTTTTATAGTATGATAGTGAAACTTGAAATATAAGCAAGAGTCCTCTCGTGATAAGATCTGCTAGCTCGGCGTTGTTCCCAAAGAAAAATATGCAATTCATTTTCTTAACCCATGAACCATGAATTGATTATTATGACAGTACACACATATGGGAGTCATTTTGCAACAACCACCAGGGGCGTCAGACGTGACCCTGGGGCTCTAAGGAACAGCCTCAGAAAAATATTATTATTATCATGTCCATTCCTTCCTGCATTCCAATTTAAGTGCCTATATATAGTCAGTGCCTCCCTGCGTACTAATTAAGTGTCTAGTCATTTCTTTTCATATGTTAATAACTGTCTTCGTGTTTACTAATAAGTAGATAGTCCTTTCCTTATTTTAATAACTGTACCTTCACTCAATACTTTTACAAGAGCAGGCTAGGCTAGGCTTACTCGCTACTATAATTTACTTTAGCCTGGTTTAAACAACTTTAAAAAGGTAGGAATACTAGGAGCGATCGCCTAGCAACGCGACAAACCCCCGTGTCTTCTATTTAGTGCTAAAAAATCGTTATCAACAAATTTCAGACACTGTAAGCGGAGCTGAAAACGTTTTACTTCAACCATTCCTTTGAATTAGCTGTAAAGACAAAGCTCAGACACAGAAAATTCATTATTTCAATCTTGACTGGCTATTGCAAAACGTTTTTCTGTTCTATCTCCATTACATGACTGAACCATGATGCTTCCTGACTCAGGTTTTTGTGCCTATAAAAATACTGAACTTTTTACGCTCCCATAACCCCTATCATCGCTCTTAAAGGTTTACGAAAAAGTAAAATATAATAGTACTTGCAATTTCTGAAGATAGCGAGCGTGTTTAAGTTTAAAAGACCTCTAGTATGTTTCCTTTTTTTATGTAATCACATGAAATAATCGTGAACGTCTGTGAGAGCTCATTGCTCGCGCTCGTTTCAAGGTGTCGTTTAAGTCGGTTAATTATGCGAGCAATTAAGGAACGGAACCGATATTTGAATACGACTTGTCTCTACCTTAAGACCCAATGAACAGCCCTTACTATTTTAAAAACACAAAACAATAGACAACGAAAAATAACCAACTGAAACACGAAATTAATAATTACTCGCAATTAAACCGGCCTTTTTTTTCTTAAGAAACAAGAAATCAATTTTTTTTTCTTATTGACAGCAATAACAAAAAATAGTAAAATACTTAGTGATTCAAAATGAATCTCTCAACAAGGAAAAAACACTAAGCACAATTTTTCACTTACCCATCCCTCCTCCTATTTTATTTGTTTATTTGTTTGTTTGTGTGTTTGGTTTTTTTGGCACGATGGCGCTGAGGATGTGCACCTCAACAGAACTTAACAAATAAACACAAATTACGGTGTGATTCCCTTATGCTACAGAAAAATCCCGCGTGATAGAAACAGAAAAACTGGAACATCAGATGATTTGGTTTATCGATCGTATGAGGTAAGTGGTAAAATTATCGGCTGGCTCGCTTTGTTGTAAATCCCAACTGACACGGTATACAAAACAAGCCTTTTTTTTCTCATTTCCGCTTTGCATGAGTATTTTGTTTCGTCAATTAAAATCGGGATGTAAATACAAATGATCTTGATAAAACAGCTCCTCTTCAAGAGCCTCAACGTACTCGTTTTCTTCACCTAGAATCAATCCAGTCAATCTTGTAATACTTCTCGTTTTTCATAAAAGACAGCATAGTTGTCTTTTAACTCTTCTATTTTGGTGATTCTAATCAACTCTTCGAGATTTTCAACGTGAAGATCGCCTTCCATTATGCAAAGAGTGTGCGTGGCTGTGAGTAAAGGGGTTGCCATTACTGTGTAAAGAGAGTTTGAGATTGATTTGGCATATTAACATCAACAGTGTAGCTGACCTCAAGTTTTTTGGGCTAAGGTCCCTTATTCTCAAAATTCTCTGCGACATTATAGTGATCATCGAATGCAAGGTGGACCATTCATTTCCTGACTCGCACTTTCACATCAAAGGATTTTACCTGTACCGCAAAGATCGTCACAGTTTTTGGGGGTGGTGAGTTCATTTATGTTAGAAGAGGGCTGATTGTGACTAGAATACATGACTTGTAAGGACATGAAGTTGAATCGATAACCCTGTATGTGCAAACGTCCAGGAGAGCGAAAAAGGTGCTTGTTTCTCGGAATGTACAGACCACCTAGCTTGTTAAAAGCTACATGGGAACATGAAATTAATAGCTAAGATCAGCGGAGACCTAAACTGCGACCTCTCCCGGCCTGACAAGGTCATAATGCTTGAAGTGGCGCTTTACAACTGTTCTAGGAATAAATTAAAGGACATTGTAACCCCATAACAGTGTAAATAAGATTGTGATCAATGAGGCCAAGATCAAACACTCCTGAAGTAAGAACAGAACATGGCTTGTTCATAAGAATTACATCAGTGGGCGAGCTAGATTCCACCAGTACCCTAGTTGGTACTTTAATCAAGTTGGTGAGACCATACACATCCGTAAAATTCATACGCAGGATCGCTTCCAGCTGACATTACTACAGTTCCCTTCCATGTTGCACAAATTTTTATAACCCTGGGATGTATGTTGGGCATGGGGAAAATTGTTAAGAAATCCATATCTAAGCGTCAACATGTGCCATTCATGACCTCAGAACTATTTGACTCCATTCGTCACAGTAACAAACTAAGAAAACTATACTTTAAGTCCAAGGATCCTGGGGACTGCCAGAAATACAGACTTCAGCGTAATCTTACTTCATCCTTAAGACGAAGGGAAATTTCAAGCTATCTCCGGTCAGGAGCAGACAGTGCCAATGGTGATCCAAAACAATTCTAGTATACAATTAAGCCCTTAATGCATTGTAAACGAAGTAACAATGAAGAGACCTATCACCTTAAGGAGCATGGCGTACTTGTGACTGACAAGAAGAAAGTGGCTGATATCTTCAACAACTATTTTTCTCTTATTCAAAATGTAGGTGAAGAACATGACAGTGATCCTAATGTTGCTATGGACATAAGTGTTCACCCAAGCATTGTTGCTATAAGAGACGAACGTGTGATGGCTGCTCAGTTTGAGTTTAATGACGTCTCAATGGCCGAAACTGAGTTAATTCTCAAATCATTAGATCCCAACAAAGCTACTGGCATGATCAGATTCCTACTTGTGTCTTACGGGATGAAGCCTCAGTTTTGGCTGGTCCTATTGCACGACTGATTAACACTGTTATTGATAATGCTTGTGTTCCTGCTGAGTGGAAACTAGCAGAGATCTGTCCTATGTTCAAGAGAGATGATGAGTTTGACAAGTCCTAATACAGGCCTGTATCCATCCTAGTATTGTTGGACAAGGTTTTCGAGAGATGTGTTTAAAAACAGCGTGTTCACTACTTCAACACGTATTTTTCTACGTTCTTGTCAGCATATAGAAAAAGTTACAGTTGCGAGTCTGTGTTGTTGCATCTTATCGAGGACTCGAAAGGTGCTCTTGACAAGAATTCTGTAGTTGGGACTGTGATAATGGACTTAAGTAAATTAAGCTTTTGATTTGCTACCACACGGCTTATCATGAAGCTTTCTGCTTATGGTATTTCTAACCATAGTTTGCACTTAGTGAAGAGCTATTTAACAAATTGCAGGCAACGGGTTCGAGTGGAAGACGTTGTTGATGTTAACAGCCTTGTTCCCCGAGGCCTGGTTGTGGGACCCTTATTGTTTAATATCTTCATAAACGACTGATTTTATTTCATCAAAAAGGCGAATATATTAATTAACCTGTATTTTTTGAGTAAAAGGTCTTTTGATCATCTCGAGATCATGATATAAGCTCTTCTTTTGAAAATTTTAACATTTGATAGATCATACTTTTTATAAAGTATTCCACTTTTAATATTATTTTACACATAGAAATGTCAATAGTCAATTTAAAAAAAATCTTTGTGAAAAAGCAAAAGCAGACACGCGAACGCCCAACTCAAGGCCGGGGCGCGACATTCATTATAACAGAAATGGCAGTTTTCACACTAGAGAAGGATTATTTGTGTGAGACGGGTTATCCGTTTGATTATTCGCGTCAGATAGGTAATACGTGTTAATTTGAAAATGGAATAGTCAGTAATTTTGAATGAAAAATCCGCCTGACTTTTGACGACGGGATTGTCCTTTCCAGATAGCCTGTGTACAGCCGCCCCCTCCCCTCAGAAAAAAATCGGACAAGAGGTGTCTGTGGGGAGGACGCAACTGTACACAGGCTAGTCTCAGACGGATGATCTATTTCTAGCTCTAGTGTGAAAATGAACGGCCAATAACAAAATTCCCGTGTCCAGTGTTTTTAATAATAGCGAAGGACTGTACGGAACGACTGTCTGCTGTTGCCTTGTCCGTAGACCGCATTATTCCGCGCGGCTAATGCGTTTCGGGTCACTTGGTCTGAGCGAGTTCGCCACCGAAATGCCTTGACCGAGATTGCGTGGGAAGACGTCGTACAGGGACTAGGCTTGACAATGTCTACCGTAGCGTCAGAGAAAAACAGGGAAATGTTGTTTGTCGGCAAAGTGTTTTACAAACAGTGACATCTGTGCTTGTTGTTTCACTAGTGTTTCCAGGGCACGACCTCCGGAAAATTGCAAATATTAATCCCCAGCAAGAAGCCACACTTTCGCTATGGAAAAAAATAGTTCTCCGAGAGAGTGCCGGAAATGGAGCCTAGGTCTTGGTTAACTCCTAAAAGGCGCTTCGCCTAGCGTGCGTACGGAGTCACACTAGCCGGGAAATAAAAAACGCAACCATAAGTGAGTTTAACACCTTCCTTAAAAGTAGCAAATCCAGGGAACAATTTATTTTACTGTTAACTCTTTTTTACCCTATTTACAGCTAACGGTGAAAATTTTTCAATTTTTACGGCTATCGGCTAAATTTTTGGCCCTTTTCCGCCTATCGGTTAACCCCATTGAGACCCTCTAACAGGGTGCACTCGCTAGTTAACCCCAATCTCGTTCCCGTCGTCACCACCTTTGACCCACCGCTCACCTCCGTGGATAACGTTGTCCCCCCCCTTCCCCTTCTCCGAACTAGATTCTGAAAACTTCTTTTGAACAAACACACCCAGGGGATAATGACGGGGGATTGGTACGATAGAGACATTGCTGTAAACGCTTCCGCTTCGACGGTCTCTTGGGCGCAACTCGCCTAAGCGTCCGTGGCTGCTTTTTAATTTTTTTCTTTTTTTAAATAAAAATTTTACACATTATATACAGTCATTCTCGGTTATAAGGACTTGGACATTCTGCGGTGTGTGGAGTATGCTTGCCCCGACATGCGGAAAATAACGAAAGAGGCTGAGGCTTTCTGCGCCAAAGTGCGACAATTAGCGCCGGAGGCTGCTCGCCCCCACATATTAACGCCGGCTGAAGGCGCCAACATGAGGGAAATAGTGAAGAAGGTGTATGTTGCAGATTGTGACATGACGATATTAAGAAATGCTTTGAAGGTGTGTTGCCCCTTCATGTCGAAGGATGCTTACGTCAAGTGCCGATATTAATGCAGATTGTGGAGGCTACTAGAGCCAGCCTGCGAAAAACGGTAAATTCTTTGAAAACCTTGGACAACTGGCCCGACAATTGGTCTGACCTCGAAATCAGCAATTTCCCCAGCAACTACTTTATTCACAAATAGGTTGCCGGGGATATTGCTGATGTCCAGGTCAGATTGGTTGCATTGTCATTGGCTTACAGTGTCGCCATTTTATGGTTGCGATAATTTGAAAAAAACAGCCGTGGCCTCAAGGGCAAAAAGGGCGTTAATGAGGGAAAGAGCAAGTCGTTCGTGGCCTTTAAATTGCAAAATCGCGGCCGTGCAAAAACCCGTTCCCCGAGAGGTGGTCTTTTGTTTGCTGTTTCTTTGCTCGTGGTGTAAACGGCTTTACGTTGGTTTGAGCGAGTTCCCAAGTAGTTAACGGGAAGCAACAACCACGGCAAGCCCCTGCTTCTCGGCCCTTCGGCCTCTCTCAAACAAACTCTTCAGATTTTGCTTCCCGTTATATTACTAATTTTTATTTACCAGTCGTGTAACTCGTATTTCGTTTCGTTCATTTTAATTGCGGGGAAATGTATTTTCACCGTTCAAGGTCTTAACCTATTTTAAACGTCAAAACAACTGCTGTTTATTGGGTAATGCAACCAATAAGAAAAAGGTTATGGATTTTAACTAATTTTTAAAAGGTTATTTTAGCCTATTGTAACTGCTGATAATCTTTTAAAACGGTTACTATAACTGGTCAGTTCTTACAGTATTCAACCAGCTCCTTGGACTTTGGATTGAATATAGAAAAGAATCTTCGGAAATCGCTATTTAGTTTACTCGGCAAGCGATCGGCTCTTGCGAGCATTTTCCGAATATCCATATTTGCTGCACAGAATTTTAAGACCTTTCCAAGTTCTTAATTGATTACTGATTGTAAATGTTCTGTGTCTTTTGAAGAATAAAACATATTTGTATCATCTGCAAAAATCCTGGAAGTTAATTTCTTTGAAGACTTGGGCAAGTCGTTAATATACAATAGAAACAACAGTGGACCTAGTGTGGAGCCTTGGGGTACACCCCATGTGATGGTTTTCAGGCTAGATTCTGTGTTACCAACTTTGACATATTGCTTACGATTAGTTATATAGCTTGAGAACCATACATGGGGGAGTCCTCGGATCCCATACTTATATAATTTTTGTAAGAGAATATGGTGGTTAATTGTATCAAAGGCCTTGGAAAAGTCTAAAAAGATGACTCTTTTACTCTCTCTTCCAAGCCTCCTAAATTTCCCGATCCCATACTTCGCACCAGCTGACTGCCAAAATTAAAATGATCGCAAAAAGAAAAAAAAACTTTAAGAAATGATAAAGTAAGTAACCTATATTCATTTATTATAATCAAGTCGGACGTGCCTGAGCCCGCTGTGCCTCCCGTCAGTCTTACATGCAATAGGATTTTACATTCGCATTCAGAATTTATAAAGTACAGTGAATTAACATACAATTACTAATATCAATGTGGTGGAATAGCAACATTTTGTCGTTGTTGACGTCTAAACAATGAGAACAGAGCTTTTTTAAATTCCGGCATCCTGACTGTGTATAATATGGGATTTACAAGAGAGTTTGCAAAAAATAATAAGACAAAAAAATGATCGGCATTCAAGAGTATTGTGGTAGAATGGGAAATTCCATTAGAAGTTATGCTGAGAAACTTGAATATATTGTATGGTAGCCACATCAGTAAAGATACTAAAGTTGTTATAAACAATGTGACGGTAAGTTTCTTCTGTCTTAGATTGGCTGTAAAATGGCGTTGTGGATGTGCTCCAAAGCGAAACTTAAAGAAAATGGATGTGTAACAAGCGAAGATAACAAATAAACACAAAATACTGTGTACTTCCCATAAAAAATTAACGTATCTTTTCAGAATTTTTCTTTCTTTCTCCAAGACTGGTGCAATACCAGGAAATACCCAAACAACAGCAATTGCTACCACGTAAACCCATCTCTTGATGAGCCGATGCCTAAATGGACGAAACGTGGCGTGCATTCGCTCTAACGAAATCACAGTAATGTTTGTCAGGGAGATTAGGGGAAAGAAATAGAAAAGAATGAAGAATACAATAGGAGCTTCCCGATATATTGGATAAAATTCTACAAAGTCACAACTTTTCTCGGCGAGGATTTTGAAAAGCAAGACACTCCCGGAAAGTCCTCCAACCAACATGTCCGCCACGGTTAAACTTATAACCAAGTACATGCTGCGAGTGCGAAGGTTTCTGTTCTTTATAAAAAGAAGGATGGCAAGGAGATTCACCGTTACTATAGCAACAAACTCGGCGGCAAATACGGTAAACCAGATGATACACTCGGAAGAAGAAAAATACATCTTGAGTTATTTTCGTCGCTGGTGTTGTTGCTGAGTGTGTTGCCCGCTACAGTAACCTGTAAGAAGAAAGAAAGGTCCGTATCTTAACTTTAAGAAAGACGACGGCATAATACCACATTAGCTTGTTTATTCGCCTTCTTTGCTTTGCCCTGCTAACTAATTTCTGAACGGCTCTAACACAATTTGCGCACCCCAATTCCAGATGGGAAGAAGATGATCAATATTGTCTGATAGAAGAAGGGGATAAACTTTTTTTCTTTAATTTTTTTTTTTTTTAGCAACTGTGAGAAATTCAAGTCCGCTTAATAACAAATGCATCCCGGGGTTAACTAGAGCCCGAAGGTTAAGCCACAGGGCGGCCACGGTATGTGTGACTTTTCATATGTTTGAGTCAAGAGGGAATAATCTAAGAGAGCGAATCCCCTATACATAACCCTCTTGCCATGAAAATTATTTGAAGTCTATCCTAGGAGTCACGCTGTGTCATATTCCGTGATTAGGGAACTTAAAAACCACGAAGACGTTCACGACGACGACGTCTGTTGACTGGGAAAGGACTGGAACGAGAGCGTCAGTTTCGGCGGGAAAAAGGAAACTTAAGATGCAGTCGATCGGTAGGTCGACGACGACGACACTGAATGTAAACAAACATGTAGAAGTAGTACAACTGTGATGTTCCTTCGCAACAAAGTTTTTTCGCAAAGGAGTCTTTTAAGACGATGCAAGATCTTATTTATAACCCGTACGTCTACTTTCATTGACGATGAAGAAATGTTAGTGTTGTCTGACTTTTCGAATGGAAAAATCTCTGCTTTCCGTACGAAGGTTATTCAACTTTCAACCTGAATAACATGAGTCCGAGTGTCTGTCAGAGTTTAGATTTGGAAAAAGAGACATTCCGATGCGATAGCTGTTTTCCATATAAAGATCATTTCCTCTATATTAAAGATATATGATTTGCCTGACCTAAATACGTACAAATAAATTTGTCACTTACGAGTTCGCTCGCCCGGCCTGCACAGCTCAGTGTTGTCTTCGAAGTAAACACAATTCATCAGTCAAATTTTCAATCAACATCGTTTGTTAGGGGAAAAAAGAAAGGATACCTGGATTTACGAGGTGAAAAAATACAAAGCCCTTGAAAAATCGCTTAAAAACAGGGAGTTATACCTGCCGAAGCTTGTGGACTGTAGGACGACGTGATTCTACTGTGTTTGGCGTCGTCGACGACACCACGACGACGAAATTTGTTAACCGCGCTTGCGCAGTGCACGGTATCTCACTTCCGGTCGTCGTCGACAAAGTCGTCGTCGTGGTTCTTAAGTTCCCTATTATTTAACGACGACGCCTCGTTGGTCGGTAATAATGGCGCCATGTAGTTTTAGCGGATAATGGCCTTTCCGCGCTTGTAAACAAATTTGGAATTGTCTTTGAAATATCTAAACCAAAAATTGTATGTTGACAATGTTTGTGTCGACAAAATTTATCCGCACTGGAAACTTTTTACTCTTTTAATATTGGGCCCCAGATGGGATTCGAACCCACGAGGGGCTCAGATTTTTTCTGTGTCCTCTTATTGTTGATTCTTTACATCTCCCTTTATTTCCTTTATAATATTAATATTAGTGGCATAGGTTGGTTGGTTGGAGGCTGCTTCATGGGTGAGATATTTCTTACTATTAATGCGACTGTGTTGCTTATGATGGACTGTGTGACTGCGAGATGCGGTTCGCAAGTCCAACCCGCAAAAATGACCCTTGCTCGCCTACGAGTCCTCAGTAGCTCAGAGGTTAGAGCATCCGATCTAGAACACGGAGGGACGTGGGTTCGAATCCCATCTGGGGCTCAGATTTTTTCTGTGTCCTCTTACGGTTGATTCTTTACATCTCCCTTTATTTCCTTGATAATATTAATATCATTGGCATAGGTTAATTTATTTTCCGTTGCTTTTACTTTTTTAGTTTCCTAAATCCAAAAAATCTGAATTACATAATGTCCTACATGGAATCAGAGTACATGTAAAATTTTGTTCTTTCCGGCAACACATTCTTAGTGTGTTTGATAAATAATACATTTACATTGTACTTGTACAATCTATTTATGTGAAAACTAACTTCTTTCACTATATGTAAATTGAAATTATCCGCTGACAAGTTACTACTTTTCAAATGATGGCAGGCTCAAGTTCAATTTTTTGTAAATGCATGTGAAACAAGTTATGTTCAAACCCTCCATTAAATTGCCCCTCCGAATATAAGCCCCCTGGGGGGCTTGTACTTGGAATTTGCCCTCGAATACAAAGTAAAACAAAGCAAAAATGGGAAATTTCCTTCCCACTACAAGCTAGCCCAATCGATTTTGAAACGAACATTTCCCTCCGTACATAAACCCCTCCGAATATAAGCCCCTCCAAAAATAAGCCCCTTCAAAAGGGCCTTTGAAGAATATAAGCCCCGGGGCTTATTTTCGGAATTTTGCGGTAGTTTGTGTCGCCAACTTGTCATGTTTTTAACTGTCTTTTTCCACTTGATGTACAAAATGAATACATCTGCTATCAATTCATGGCTGGTTTGTTTATTGGATTTATGGTTGAGAAATGCGCCGCTTGTCAAAGTCGTCGGGAATCCAATTTCGTATGTTTTCGCTTTTCACCTTGCTTGATGCGTAAGAGGGCTTAAAAGGCTCAAGTGATTCTGGCCGTACTTGATGGCCTTCAGGAGCTGCAACTCGACTGGTGAGCCTGAGTAATTATTGTAACTGATGTGTGTGTGTTTTTTTGTTTTGTTTTGTTTTTTTTTTTTTTCAGGTTTCCTTAAGTCGAGCGTAGTTTATGCGGCTAGTGTATGCTATTGTATATAAGCTTATAGAACTTTAAAAAGCCTTTAGACATTTTCTGACCACAATAAATACATAAAAACGTTCCGAAGAATATTTATTTACGGTTTTTGCTGTAAAAATAAAGGTCTGAGCGATGTTCTTGCCTCGAGTTCATCTTTAAAAATAGCAAACATTGGGAAGCCGGCTTAAAACATAATCTGCCAGGTTGTTTATAAAATTTATAAGATTATGCTTACCTGACTCATGATTTTTGGAGACACTTTACCCTCAATACTTGTGTTCGTGAATGAAAATTGTTGTCCCTGTACACGTTTCACCGAATTATATTTATTTTATTGATTGTTAGGAGTCTCTCTCGCAATTTTAATCGCTGCGCCGCTTGTTTTCCGTCGTACGTAAACATCGCATGCAGGAGTACTCAAAATGACGCGCGTAAATATCAAACGCTTTTAAAGATTACACATAACAACACCATGAATAAAGAGAAATAAAACCTAAACATAATAAATTGTCTATCATGTTGAAGCGTAACTCTATTAGTGTTCATTTAATTACAAGACAGCCGGGACTGGAAATTTGGTGCTTGTCAAAAGTGAGAACACGTCCGGCTGGCCGTATAGGTGATTTTGGGAATTTTTTGATCATTTTCACGAAAAGCCCATACTTATTACCCTACATATGACAGCGAAGCATATTTTTCTGACTGAACACTCATGCATTATGCTGAATTCTCTTCATGAAAACGTTTGATAATGTGATCAGTTCTATAATTTGTTGTGCAAAGGATGCCCATGCTTCGATCGTCCTGGACTGATTAAATGACTCAGTGCAATTTGTCTTGCAAAATTGTGAAAAACTTCAGAATTATAGTTTTAAATAGGGCAAAAAAAATTCTGTCCGAGGTCTGTATGATTAAAAAAAAACAAAACAAAAAAACCGCACCTCATAGTCCTGTTTACTTCAGACGTGATGTATGAAAAGTATATTTACAAGGCTGGTTTACACGCCACCAGATTTGTCACCAAGATTTATAATTACTTGCATTAAAAGTAAACTTGTCGAATCCCGCCTGATTTCTTATTTTGGCCTCCCTTTTAAACAGAGGAATGCAACGTGTAAATTTTTGGCTACCACTGAGGCTATCATGTGCTGAATAATATTATATTTCGGGGTTGTCCAATTATCCATAGTCTCTCCAACGGAGTGGCTGGAGAGACTATGAATTAACCTTATAAAATAAGGTTAATTCATAGTCTTATAAAATAATGTAGATACGAAAATTATGTCCAAGGTGATCGCAGCAAGGGTTAAAAAGGTGTTACCCATTATCATTCACTACAACCAGACTGGTTATGTTAAAGATCGTTTCATTGGTGAAGCAATACGTTCTATTTTCGATATTATGGACTTCACAGCTAAGGAAAACATCCCAGGTTTACTGCTGTTTATAGATTTTCAAAAAGCTTTTGATAGTGTGGAATGGGAATTCCTCATTGAGAGTCTTAAAAAGTTTAACTTTGGTCGAGATTTCCTTCAATGGGTGAAAACCTTTTATAACAGCATTCAAAGCTGTGTTATAAACAATGGCGTTAGTTCTAACTTTTTTACTCTGGAACGCGGTGTTAGGCAGGGTGATCCACTCTCTCCTTACTTATTTATAATTGCTGTAGAAACTTTAGCAATTGCTATAAGGCAAAAAGAGTCAATTAAAGGAATCACAATAGGAACTGAGGAAACTAAGCTTCCACAGTTTGCAGACGATACAACCGCTGTGTTAGCTGACACAAGCTCGGCCGCAAGATTATTTGAACTACTTAACAAATTCGAAATTCTCTCTGGACTCAAGATTAACTGTTCAAAAACTGAAGGTATGTGGATTGGATCTAAGAGACATTATAAAGAAAAACCATTCGGTATTAAATGGCCGGACGAGCCAATAAAAACTCTAGGTGTATATTTTACTTATGACCAAAAATTGCTTAAAGAAAAGAATCTTATAGAACGACTGGATTAAATTAAAAAACTTATTAATATATGGTCCGCTAGAGGCCTGTCGATATACGGTAAAGTGACAATAATCAAATCTTTTCTTATCCCTAAGTACATTTACATTTGTTCGATCCTTCCAACTCCCAAGGAATTACTAAAAGAATTGAATAAAATACTGTTTAAATTTCTCTGGAAAGGTGTAGATAAGGTAACAAGAGCTTCAGTTATAAACGAATACGAAGAGGGAGGGCTAAGAATGGTTGATCTCGAGTGCATGGTTAAGTCATTGAGATTAGCTTGGTTAAAACGTATCTTCAGTGGGACTAATGGAACTTGGAAAAGCTACCTACAACACATACTGAGCTCCGTTGGGGGATTGTTTTTTTTTTAACTGCAACTACAATATCTCGGATTACACAATTCCTTCTCAATTTTATCAGGAACTTTTGTTATGGTGGTCGCAATTTCGTGAAACGTTTGCCACTGAAGAAGATTGGAAAACGATAATCTGGAATAACAAAGAAATAAAAGTAGAAAACAAGCCGGTTTATTATAAACATTATGTTAATGCGAGAGTCATTTGCATTCAGGATCTTTTATTTAGTCTGAACAGTACTGATTCTTATAATCAACTGTCTAAAAAAATATGCAAAACAAATATTTTAGAATGGGCTGGCTTACGCAGGTCCATTCCATTATCGTTGAGAAGATATGACAGGTATCCTTCCATAAACTCACCAACATTTGTGGTGGGTGACAATAATTTTGATGTTACGAAAGGGAAATCAAAGGATTACTACAACCTACTCGTCAGAGAAAAAGCTAAACCGCCCAATATTATTCAAAAATTACAGAGTAACTTTCATTTTAACAGCGACAATCTGAAGCAAATATTTAAGCTGCCACACTCTATCGTTGTTGAATCGTATGTTAAAACCTTCCAGTACAAAGTAATTAACTCAATTCTTTACGCAAATACAAAGTTGTATAAAATAGGTTTTAGGACAAATGATTTATGTACTATCTGTGACAATCAACCTGAATCTTTAACACATTTGTTCTATCACTGCTCACGCTCTAAACATTCTTGGATTGAATTTGAACTATATTGGTGCCTTATTTCGAATCAACGAATTCGTCTGTGCTTGGAAAATGTGCTCTTTGGAATTTTGACGGAAAATGCTTGCCCTTTACTGCAATTGCGGAACTATTTTATAATTATTGGAAAACTCTATTTGTGGGACTGCAGGAGCAAACAAATCCCTCCAAACATTTATGGATTTAGAGCCAAGATCATCGCTAAATATGAAACAGAAGAAAAAATCAGCAACAAAGAATTCTTTAAAAGAAAGTGGATACTGACGCCTTATTTAAGTTAACTGTATTAACTCCGTATTATTTCATTGCCCTGTTGTACTTTTTTATAATTTCTTTTAGCCCTGTAACACCCCCTGTAATAATTTGACAATTTTTTTTTGCTTTACTCTGTTAATGTCTCTTGTTAAAGTGTTTTTTTTTTTTTGTAAATGTAATTTTTTAATGTGATTATCAATAAAAATATAATTATTAAAAAAAAAAAAAAAAAAAAAAAAAAACTTATGAAATAAAGGTGGTGTACGTGGGCGACTGGGTTATTTTGTTTGGGAAGAATTTGTTTTCCAGGCCTAATGTACTGTGATCGAAGATGATTGTCATTTTTGGGTGTACATGTAAGACTATTAACTTGATGTAAAACTGATTTGTTTTCTTGGACTGTCAAGATTATTTTTCTCTAAAATCAGTTAGCCCTAAAGTTAACTGATTTGTGGATTACAAGTTTATTGTTCGATTCAAATTAATAATAATTTTAACGGGAGCTTCACTTTTAGCCCTGGCTAAATCTATCTATTAGACTTGGCGTTGTAATCACTCCTGCTTCCGATGTTCATGTACGACTGAAGAACCGGCAAGCGATACGAGAAGGATCTTGGCAAAGAGTCAAGTTAAGAAGTATAACTTAATGAAACATTTACAAAGACACCCATTTTGATTCGCAAAGACAAGTATTGAGAGTGAAGTGTCTCTGAAAATCTAGTTGCTTGTACAAAAACCTTGCAGACTTATGTTTTAAGCGCCCAGTTTCGCGATGTTTGCTATTTTTCAAGATGAACCCGTCGCAATTTCACAGACAACAGGATAGTTTAATTAAGAAATCATCCTGTCCTTCCCTGAATGAAATATGAGAAATTACTCACTACCTACTTTACCTCCATATCTCGCATCCTTTAAGAGGCAAAAACTCCTCCGAAACTTTGAGTAAAATTCATGTTTTCATCACACAGACTGGCAACAATTGCCCAGAAATAGGAACAAGGCACGCTGGGACGATGGTATTATCTTCCTTTGGAAAGTTCGGGGACTTGAAGTAACCGTACTTTTATTAAAAGATTCTAGGGGAAGTTTTAATTTGTACCTGAATTTCCAGGAGACATCTTTAATAACATGATAATTGCAATATCTTGGTAACCAAATGTGAGAAACACAACCTCCAAAAATCGTTACTAAGTTAGTAGAAATACTCTGAAGATCGTAGTTGAATGGAACGGTTAACAAGAAATTTGTAATTTCTTGATAATTTCTCAAGCCTTAAAAATTTCTAGGGAATAAAGGCTGTAAAGTTTAGGTTCAACTTACAAGCTAGCCAGTTTGTCTATCATCGATGTATTTTTTCTTCACCAAACAACGAGCTGACAACTTGACTGACAATGGCCGAAATTATCTGTCTAAGATGAATCTAGATATAAGTCCGGTGTTAAGACAAATTTTGGCCCCAAATACGTCTCGTCTTGGCTGACGAATTTAGTGAAGACGAATTTGGGGCCAAAATTCGTCTAAAAACCGGATTTATATCTAAACGATTTGTCTGTCTCAGACGGGTAATTCGTCTTAGACAACTGATTCGCCTCTAATATAAATTCGGCCTATGCTACTGCACGTATTCCACTTTAAAATTAAACTCACCTTCTTGAAGCAGGGCGATAGAATACGTAAAATAACAGGTTATGTATGTAGTGATGTCAAAGCTTCGAGGTGATCTTCCAATGTTGAACAAAGTTACTATTTTTTTCCTGATATAACTTGTGTAAATTATCGTGTAGGCCCTTGTTACAACTGTCTTTGTCAGTTAGATTTCGATGACCTCTATTTAAACTCCTAGAGCAACAGATTTTTGCCTCGTGAAATGCCATATGATATTGTAAAATCAAGCAAACATCATCATTACGCAAATCATGAACTTGACGGAAGTTTTAAGGCTACGTAGGAAATTATGCGATGCATGCGATGTCATTCTTATAATGGAACAGAGATAAATAAATCCGTTTGATTGACCCGCTAATCCAGTCCCAGAATAGGGGGAAAATATTCCAAGCACGTCATTATTCTCGCCTTACTGTCAGTTTCACAACAACCGAAGAAAATGACGAACTTAATGGTGAAAATAAAGACCAATGTTTAACGATCAATCACGAGAAACCCTAGACACTCGGAGGAAAAGGTAACTAACTATTAGAACAGAGGAGAATCTCTTCAGCATATTCCCATTTTACATGAGGAAAACGAGAGAGTTTCTTTATTCTCCAAAGTACAAAGCAAGCTGTCGTTTATGTTATTGTAGGAAATTAACGCTTCAAAAAGTCGCGTTAATCTAAGTCGCGTTTTGTTAACGTGATTTTCGCGCCAAAGTTCAATTAACAGTTAAGTGATTTCTGTACAAAAGAATTGGTTTTTCGCATCCCGTCAATTCCTTTTTCGTCTTTCCTTAGTAGATTTAATGTAGTTAACGTAAAACTATGATAGAAATATTAGTTATTGTAACTTAAAATGGTTTCCTTCCTTTCCTTTCCTTTCACTTTATTTTTCTTTTAACTGGTCCACCTAGATTAGCAATTGCTTTTTTGCGAGACAGTCTATTGTAATCAATATTTTTATGAAATAAAGTTGAAGTTGAAGTTTAAGTTGAAGCCATTTCGAGTAGAGGGTTAATTTCCGTGACCTCTATTTTCATTGCTTTCGGGCGCAAATTCTCAAAAGACTTCAGACACTCTTAAAATCTAAGATCAATGGAAGATTTTGTCAGGGTGGATACCCGCCGGTATCAGTGAAACTGTCATGAACGCTTGAAGTGGCAAGATTCCCTTAATTAACCCCTTCCCTTTTACTGCTGGGGAACACACTGTTTGCAGGCTTAGTTTTGTTAGTTTTACCAGCTTTTCTGGACACAGACCTGCCCGGAGGGAATGGGCACGAACGGGACTCATAGCTCCTCTGCAAGGTGCCATCCCTACCCAATCCTACAACCCGTAAAGGTTGGCCACACCACCGGGGTCTACGTCCCCTCCACTCTTTGAACAGTGGTGTGGGTTCTTTTGCGTCCCAAATGACCAGATCAGTGAAAGTGCTGTGAGACGGGACCTACGGTATTTTTCGTCCTTATCCGCGAAGACTAAAAAGTCTAACCATTTGCAGATGTCATTACAAAGGCAGCACTTTCTTCTCAGTTATTTAAAGACCCTGAGTGTTCGTCCGGCCGGGGTTTGAACCCGCGACCTCCCGCTCGGCGGACCGGCGCTTTCCCAACGGAGCTAACCAGGCGGCCGTTTTTGTCTTTGTCGTCTCGACAAGTTTTGCTCCTTTGTGTATGTTTTTCTTCATTTTGAAATATCAGCCTCTCTACAGCGTTAATTTCCTTAATTTGAAATCATTTTTTTCTCTAATTCGCGTTAACGTCAATTTCAAATACCGTAATTGACGCAAGGGTAAATTTCATTTAATAAGCTAGGTATGCAACAATTTTCCTCCGTCAAATCATCCCATGAAATTTCTATATAGAACCACTTTAACAACGTCAGTATTTGACGCGATATTTGTAGCAATATAATATTTCTGAAACATCACTCAGTATTCAGGAGAAATAAAACGCGGGTAATGTATATATATTTTTAAAACATTTTTTTCTCGATTTAAGGAATAGTCCAGAATTTATTCTTATTCTAGAAGTAAAGGCGAATCGAACGCATCCTAAATAATTTCAAATGTCCAAAGTCAACGTACTAAGCGATGCACTCAAGTAGAAACAAATATATTTGTTGCTTAGCCCTGAGATTGTCTTCACGATGACGCCAGAACGGCGGCTTTTCATTCATATTTTTGCATGTTTTTGCATTACTAAATTGCTTCTGATATTCTAGAAACTGCAATAACAGAAGCAATTAACCGAAAAATAAACCGGAAAAAAGATAAAGATTACATAATGCATGATTATAGACACCCTCCCAGCAATAACCACACTCTGTTTCCCATATATTACTTATCCCAATTGAAACACTTAGGCTCAGTTCATGCTTCTGCCTTGCCGAACCAAATTAACATTGGGTTCGACAGAAGCACGGCAGAAGCACGACCTCAAATCAGACGTCGTGCCAGAGTCGAACTTAATACAGTGTTCGCACAGTAGTCAGGGCAGCAGTTAGCGGTGACGAAAACGGCGCTGCGTTGTAAACTCTAGCATAAATTGCTACTTGCAAAACTCTTACAAAACTCGAGAAGGCGAAGATAAGAAATACAGCAAAAAATCCTTTTCCTTTTGACCGTAAGGCGAATGTTATAGTTGGAAGTTTTTTTTTTGTATTGCTGCTCTTCTTATTTCTTGCGAGAAAACCGCCGATCGTTTCCTCGTCTTCCTCTTCCTCTTGTTCTTCATAGCCAGCTAGTGGAATATTTTCGTCAAAAGTTAGTTCGTCTTCTGATGAATTATCGGACTCTGTAGCATTGCAAACCAAGGAGGAAGGAGCATGTAAACTACTTGCATGAAAAGCAGCCATGTTTGTTATAAACCATTCTCGAAAAATGTCTCGACTCCAATGCTTACGCGTCTGATTCCTGGCCGTCATGCGCAAAGGAGCTCCGGGGCAATAAACAGACTCATTGCGCATGCTGATACCAGCGAAAATACATCTCCGAAATTTATGCATTAGGTTCGACACGGCATAAGCACGACGTTTGAATCGCTGCCGTGCCAGAGTCGTGTAGCACGGCAGACCTTGTCGAACTTAATTGTTCTGCCGTACCAAATTAAAAACTTTGATTCAGAAACCGCGCTTCTGCCGTGCTTATGTCGAATTAAAATGAAGAATTAAGTTCTGCACGGCAGAGGCACGACGTATGAACTGGGCCTTAGATATGAACGTGATTGTCTTAGGAAAATACGTGAGGCCCACCTCATTCATAAAGCCAAAACCATCGAGCCTCTGGGAATAAACAAACGTGACGATATAATAATTATTATGTAATATTTATCTTTTTTTGGTTTATTTCTCTTAGCATCTACACCTTACCACGTCATACCATGTAACTTCTGTTTATTATTTTACAGTAGTATAATATTATGTATATTCGTGGTTTTTCCTAATAAACATGTTGAAGACTGGTATTGGCCAGTCGAAATATTGTATAGAAATATTGAAATATTGTTCCCAATGAAAGAAATCTGCAAGTCATGTTTACTCCATGAACCATGAGTTGACGTATTTTCCTATATATATTTTTTAATTTGGCTAATTACCGTTGCTTACGCCTGATCGGCTTTTTTCGTGCAATGCAATAACATTCTAGAAATATTTCTGGTGTTCACGGTTTTCCCAGTTTGACTGTAAGATACGTGCCTCTCAGAAGCCGTTGCTTTCACCTCTTAAAAGTGAGCTTTTTCTGGCAGCTAAATAACCTATTAGAAGTGATTTTAATTTCTTTGGTTTCTCCAAAGTGTATGTATAAATGTCAATAGCTGCATACTTGTAGCTTTTGGTCCGTAAAGGTGATGATGATGATAATGATTTCCTGCTATGTTCTGACGGGAAACGCGAGACGCTCTTACTGTTTGCAGGATGCTGAATTCTCACGGTTAAGTATCTTCAGATCCGAATTCTTGCTTAAACCGAAGCTACACCAAGAACGTTCTTCAGTGGCTGATACATTCAATTTTTATTTTCTTGATATAAGTGAGTCCTTCGATCCATGAGTCCTCAGCGGGATGTCCTGTAGTTATTTCGTTATTAAAATTATTTGAAGCTTTACAGTCTATGCTACTGTACATTTTCTTCAAGTCTTAACGCACTTACTACACTTAATTCCCTGAAGGCGCATTCTTCCACAAAACGTATACGTGCGACTCATTTTCCTATGGTTGCAGTTTTCGTAACCAAACCTACTTCTTCCGTAAAAATAACAATTGATTCGCGAACAAGCATTGCGTAGGCTTTTGCCCACCTGTCAACATTGCTAAAATTAAGGACATATTATTGGCTATCATTCACCCCCCTTGGGAGCAACAGACCTCAGGGACAATCTAAAAATATCTTTAGAGGGATTACGATGGGTATAAGGCCTATATGGGGTATATGGGGTATCTTGGAGCTTTATCATCTCTTGGTGCTTAGTCAGTGCCTTCCTACATACCAATTAAGTTTCTAGTCCTTTCTTTTCACACGTTAACAATCGTCTTCCTGTAAACTAATAAGTGGATAGTCTTTTTCATATTTTGATAACCGTTCTTTCGCGCAATATTCTTACAAGGGTAAGCTAGGCTAGGTTTACCCGCTTCTATTAGTAACGTTAGCACGGTTTGAAAAACTACCAAAAGGTAGGAATAAGAGGAGCAATCGCCTACTAACGCGAGAAACCCCTTTGTCTTCTATTTTACTTTGAAAATCCGTCATAAACAAAACTGAGACACTAAGTGGAGCTGAAAACGCTTTACTTAAATTATTCCTTCACTGATTAGCTGTAAAGACAAAATAGTCATGCTTCAGCGGGGCCGGATCCAGGATTTTTTTTGGGAGGGGGTGCACTCGTCTCTTGCTCCACTTCAACACCAATAAACCACATAGTTTTTTGTTTTTGCAGAATACCAGTTGTATTAGAAAACCGCAGGTCATCTCGGGGGGGCGCACCCCCTGCACCCTCCCCCTAGATCCGCCCCTGTTCAGCAAAGACAAGTCCCGTCGTGGCATAGGTAAACGTATAAGGACATTATTAAGTGATTAAAACTATCTTCCTACATACTAATTTGGTATAGTTAAAAGTGCCTTCTTGCATTGATTAATTTAGTATAGGTAAACTACGTAAGCACTTAGTCAGTTCTTTTCATATGTTAATAAATTGTCTAGTCAGTGCTCCTCTGCATGCTAATAAGTGCACAGCCGTTTATATGTTAATGACTGCAATTCTCAATAGAAATAAAAAGCTTTGTCTAAGCTTGTTCTGTCTCTACTAACCCTAATTACTTGATGTAGATTCTAACGTGTGTTCAAAACAAAAGCGGGCAGATCCAGATCCAGTGGATATCTTGATTGGTGGTTTGTCAAACTCTTATTACCTACCTTGGGTATTTTTTTGTCTGGCCCGGGTTGTTCAAACGGTGGATAGCGCTATCCAACGTTTGAACAACCCGGGCCTGGTGGATAGTGACTATATCCAACTTTCGAATAACTTGGACTAAGGAAAGCTGTGCCAAATTTGACTTGACTCGCCAAGCCTTCTGGAAGAGGAGAGAGCATGCGTACCCGCACTTATTAAAAAAATAATAATAAAATAAAATAAAAAATAAAATGTCATTCTTTCGAAGCATATATAAAGGATACTACACGACGGCGGGAAGATAGGAATTTTATTAGTTTCGAGTGGTTAAAACAATATTTTACGAACGAGTGCAACGAGCTAGTAAGATATTGTTTTTCACCACGAAATTGTAGTTTTCTTTGTATAATATAGACAAATAAACTCCCAGCAAAATCTTTATCGCGAACTGCTATAGTTCGGCGGCAGGAATTTATTGAAGTTCTCTCCTTTCGTCTTCACTCGTAAGGAACAGAGAAAGTTTTTATGTCGGCTCCAGTTAACTTCACCAATTTATCGTTCGCCATTTTTCAACAGAAGTACAATGCATACGATATTTCTGTTTTCAAGAGCCAAAATACAGCAGTCAGTTTTGTTTCCTCAGAGTCTGTACGCCATTACAAGAGCCGGATCAAACACTAATTGTTGATTTGACAAACGTGAGGAAAACTCGAGCGAAAGCAGTAAAAATGTTGTTGAATTTACTACAGCAATCTGTCAGATTGGTCCTGCAGCAAACTTGTCGATATGGGACGCTATAAACAGCTGGGGGACTGTTAGTGATAGAGTATTATCCGAAGTGGGACAGAACAAGGATTCTTACTTGTCCACTTGAAGCTGACTTGCTCTCATTTTACGATTGTTAATTATCATGTAAGATGGTTAGTAGATAATTGAAAGCCAGGTATAAAAAAAACTGCTAGGCCCAGCTTAAACGTCGAACTTTACAAGTGACGAGCCTAATGCCGATGAGCAAACTTGTTCTCACTCATTAGCAATGGGCTCGTTGAAACGACGCGATTTCTGACAATCATTCAGATTGCGCTTTCCATTACCCGTCGCACTTTGTAACAAAAAAAAGCTGTCGCAATTTGTGAAACTGCCCAAAACTCTTTGTAATTAACTACCCGTAACGATTTATGACAATTCCTTCACACTTTGTAGCAAATTTCCGTTATTTCCTTCGGTCAAACATGCCTCACTGTTAAATTTGTCTCGCACAAAATAATGAAAGGCAGTTACATGATCAGGCACGAAACGCTTTATATTGCAAATTGCAATGGAAAATTAGTACAAATTTCAACAGCCTCAAAAGTGCGACACTGTTCATGTAACTGGGACAGGTTGGACAAGTGCAATGTTTTTTTGAACAACTTGCGAAAGGTATAAAAAAAGTGGTTAACAGTGAAAGGCTTCTGCGAATTTCACAAAGTTTTGAAGTGGACAAATTATCCTAAAAAAATAGTCCAAAAAAAACATAACTCATAAGGATTTCTGGATTTCCTTAAAAAATTATTACGTGTCCTGTGGAGTCCTGTTTTCGCCTATTTTCAATGGTTTAATTAAGAATTTTAAAGAAAGGCCAATGAAAAGATGTCGTTTTAATAGAAACAAACTATAAAATTCCAAAAAGCGTTATATTTATTTCTTTTCATGAAATGATAGAAAACGAAGACTGATGGAAAACGAAGAAATAGAAAACGAAGAAACGGCAAGTTTCGGTATTTAGTTCAGTATTTTTTTTGTTTGTTTTTTGTTGTTTTTTTTTTCGTTGCTGTTTATATACACACACTTTATAATGGTTCACCCACCCACCCTCTCCCCCTCCCCCTTCATCTCCCCTCCTGCATGTTATTTTTGTAAAATTATCATAATAGAAAAGAGTGTGCGTAAAAAAAAAAACTTTAAGCCCCTTTTCAACGTGCTGGCCTCCGATAAGATAAGCGATAGGGGAGACTGGGAGGGGGTGGTTTTAGCTCAAATTTGTCTTTAGAATCCTTCATTGATGTGCTCTTTTGTATGTTCAGGTTTTTTCAAGGTCCTGACATCTTCACTCACGGCATTTTAAAACTTCGTCGCCATATTGACAATGAGACGGCAGGAATGGTGGTGTTTGTATTTATGTTCGTGGTAATATCAATTTTCAGCTTCGTGCCGATCTTAGTCCGAATAATCTTGAATGTCTCACTGTTGAAATCACTAAATCCCGCTCAAAACCTTTCCTCGTTGCTAACTGGTACAGACCACTAAAATCATCTCCTGACCTCTTTTCAACCTTTGATAGAATTATTGATCAAATTGACGCTGAAAACTTGGAACTCTCTCTTATGGGTGACTTAAATTGTAATTTATTATCGGAGGTTGTCAGTAACAACTCTTCACACCTTTCTAAATATCATCGATATTTATGGTCTGACTCAACTTGTTACGGAACCAACTCGAGTCACACAATATTCAAGTACCCTGATCGATTTATGCCTAACAAATTCCCCAGATAAGATTTCACAGTCAGGTGTTATTGATAGCGGAGCTCTCGTGCGCGAAGCGCGCAGCGGAGCACCATGGGTAAGAAAATGTGGTAAACTACCCATCCAAGAAAATTTGGTAATCACGTGACCGTACACCGAGCGAGCGAGCGACCGTCCGTCCGCACCACAGGCATACCAATGTAAAATAACTCAATCAACAGGTATGGCAACCCAAATGCGACTCAAGGTTTTATTTAGAAGAAAAACAACAACAAAGTCGTGTCTTTTTCGGCGTTATTTTTTATGTTTACATTAACGTGGACAACAGAGAAAGAGCTGGAGCGAGTTATTGAAAACAAAGGAGACTAATTTCTTAGGAAGAAAAACATGGAAATTCAAAGCGGCGGTGAGAAAATGAGAAATGCTAGCGACCAGCAAGGTGAAAATGAGCGGCAATGAAAAATAAAAGCGAACATGAACACAGGAGACAAAATATTGGGTAAGCACATACGACAATTCCTCCATGAAAACAGTGTGTAACTAGGAAGTTTGACGTTTTAGCCGTACAAAACAGCGTTGTAGTCGTGCAAAACAACAACAAGGGAAAGACAAAAAAGCGTGCTGCACGTGCAAATTTTTTTTTTTTTGCTAATTAGAAGAAAAAGTGTGCGGCACGTGCAATTTGTTTTTTTTTTTTTGCTAATTACATCTATTAGTCTTGAAGTCATATTCATTGTCGTCCGCGTTTAGCATTACACGATTTAATTTTTTTTTTACACGTATTATTAACCAGAGCTTCGCTTTTATCCCTGGCTAAATCTATATATTATTGGTATTATTGATCATTCTGCTATTTATCTTAAACGCAAAGTTTCTCATCTTCGCTCCAATGTGCATAAAACTGTGGAAGTCCGATAGCTCAAGAATTTCAATGAAGCTGAATTTTTGCGAGATCTTCGCATGATTGACTGGAACCGCGTTACAACGCACAATAACTCAAATGAAATGTGGTACTTTTGGAAACACCTGATAGCGAGTGTTATTGATACGGCATGCACCATTCAGAACAAAAAGGGTTAAAAACTGCTGCGTGAAATGCATAAAAAAGATTTTCTAAAAAAGAAAGCTGATTCTACAAATGACCCTTTGAGTTGGAAACAGTTTAAAGATGCAAGAAATAAGGCCAATAACTCAGTGAAGAAAGCTAAACGTTAATGCTTTTCTGAAAACCTTGATGCAAACAAATGTAATCCTCGTAAAACCTGGCGATTAATTGTAATGAAGTCCAATCTCGGCAAAGTAAATCAACCAAAGTGTCTCAAGTCAAAACAGGAAACCAAGTTTTCACCTCAGCTGGTGATATGGCTGAAGCATTTAACAACTATTTTACAAACATAGGCCGGTCTTTAGCACAAAAAATCCCCAGTTCGAAAATTGACCCACTTACTTATGTTGAATCCTGCTGCCGGAGTATTTTCCTTTTTAACCGATTAATGTTCAAAAAGTCATCAAATTACTTAAGGTTATCGATGTAGGTAAAGGCAACTGGGCTTGACAAAATTCCAAACAGGCTTCTGAAGATTGCTGCCGATGTTGTTACGCCCTCTTTTACGGGCACCGTAAATCAATCGTTAGTGACTGGTATTTTCCACTCCGACTGGAAACTGGCTTAAGTGTCACCAATTTTTAAGAATGGCTCTATGTTTGACCTAAACAACTATCGGCCTATATCTGTTATTCCTACCGTAGCCAAAATTTTCGAAAAAAATTATCTATGACCAGCAATATCAATATCTAAATGAAAATGGTTTATTAAACAGTGGCCAGTCTGGTTTCCGCTCGCTTTTTGCAGAGTAAAACATAATGATACTTTATATAAAAATTACCAAATCATTTCTGTACATTATCCACTTACATCTTTTTCCGGAGTAAGATGATATTCATTATGCAGATCATAAAGTTTCTCATAAAGATCTACTTCAAGTATATAACCTCTGTTTGTTATTATTTGATTTCATAGTTTGATTACTCTTTCATTTGTTAAATCGTCCTCTTCCATCCATCTAAACCTGTGAATGTTGGTAATTCTCATCTGAAAAGTCTTGGTTCTCTAGTGTCGAATAAAACTCTGATTTGGGTGGTAGTTGTTTTTCAGAAAATAAATTTCAGACTTTCAACATAATCATATGGGTAAACACCTTGTTAGGAGCTTAAGTTGTAAATCTGAGTAAAAGTTTTTGAGATTGAGAAAATTCCTCTGGTTTTACATTTGTAAGGAGATTTTCGAGACTTGATGCCACAAATTTAAAACTACCAGTGAAATGTATTTCAAAGTTGATGTTAATGTTTCGTTCCGTATTCTTTGATTAATTTGAATACTTTTAGTAATAATATACACGAAAAAATTTCTCAATTCTGATTGGCTGAGAAAGGAGTACAGTTCATCTGTAACACGTGTGCAAACTTGTAACACGAGTGCAAAACTTGTGACACGAGTGCAAATTACGAATGGTTTCTGATTGGCTGAAAACACAAAAGAAACCACCAAGAACCAATCAGATTAGAGCTGTTTTAACGACAAAATTCAAGAAAATGGCCATGGTTTTCAGCAGACGACGACGAGATTTAATTTTTGCCTAAAACAACAATAGAAAGGTTAAAAAAATCATTCCAAAAACCCGTACACAGTAAAAAGTACGTCTTTCTAGCTAAATGCATTGAAAATGCATTGCTAAGAGAAAAATGCTGTCAACAAAATGGAGGAAAATGAGCCAGAGAAACTAAAAAACAAGCTACTTATAACAGACTACGCTAAAGTAAAAAATAAAGAACGAGAACGGTTGCAACCACACGCAAACCATGACAGCTACACTTTTCAGGCATTTA